TAGTGGCGCAAAGAAAGGCATTGAGGTGGGAGGCAGGCTGTCTGAAGGGTAAGGCGTTTCACAGAAATGTGGGCCTGGAAGGGACCTGAAGGGACCTGCGTGGAGGCAGGACCAAGCAAACCTAGAGCATCCCTGATGGGGGTTTGTCCAACCTGTTCCTAAAAACCTTCAATGAGGGGGATTCCACAATCTCCTTTGGAAGCCCATTTGAGAGCTTAACTTCCCTTAGAGCTAGGTTTAGAAAGTTTTTCCTAATATCTAAGTCTCCCTTGCTGCAGATTAAGCCCATTACTACTTATCCTACCTTCAATGGACATGGAGAACAATCGATCCCCATTATCTGTATAACAGCCCTTAGCCCATCTGAAAACGTATCCCGTCCCCGCTCAGTCTTCTCAAAACTAAACCATGCCCAGTTCTGCTAAGGCCAGATCTACAACTATATCCATATAACTGTCACCCCATAGCAATGTAGTTCCACCGCTGACCTAACCCCCCATGTAGACAGCACTCTGTCGATGGGAGAGCTTCTCCTGTGCCAGTGTAGTGCGGCATGTGAAGACAAGCCCTAACTAGTGGAAGCCATTTCTAGTGGTCCTGTACTGGTTGGTCGTTAGTCTTAAAGCGCCTTCACAAAAGAGGGTAAAAATCATCCCTATTTCAGAGAGGGGGGAAACAGAGGCACGCTGGGGAAGTGACTTTCCCAAGGCCAGGTCCTTGGCAGAGATGGTAACAGAACCCTGCTATGGTACCCCAGACAGTGCCTTTTCCATTTGACCATGCTGCCCATTCTCCTTCAAATCCTCATTTGTGCAAACCAACGTGCTGAAGACTTTGATCAGAGGGTCTTAATTTTTAAGACTCCTACAGTAACTAGGCTAATGTATTCAAAGGCACCCAACCAGCTGAGCGTCCCTGCATTTGTAGATCTGAGTGTTTGGGTTTGCAAGAGGTCAGGATGGAGGTAACACACAGTCGATCTGTTGGCTTTTAATTTGGTCTCTTGTCTCACCTTCCAGCTTCAACACTATTTTCTCTTCATTTCTCTCCCACGCACCCCCACCCCCGGCTCCCAAATCTCTCTGCTAGAGCCTTGTTTTTAAACATACAAGCTAAACTCCACCCTGCTGACATGACCCATGATGCTGCCAGGCGTGAACAGAGCAGGCTTAGAACCCCCCTATTTGCTACGTGGTCCCCCTAGCACCATTCTAGCTATAAAGAGAGAAGAAGTGGATTTTAACCCTTGCCAGTCCCGCTTCAGATAGCGCTGGGCTTAGCCTGCCTGACCCAAATAGTTATATAAGCAGATGAGGAGACCACTTAAAAGCTGTACTGCAAATCCAGCTGACCCACTGCCCACAGCTTTCACCGCTAGTCCCTCCAGGGCACGTTTCCTTGCTTGGACTGAAGGGCTGAGGAAAGTCCCTTGTTATGACAGCTTACAGCCAGCCAGGCTGGGAGCTCTTTCATGCACTTGTGACTGCTCTCCCTGACCTGGCTGCTATCATTAACTATGCTTGGGTAAGTCTGCACCAGGCTGGGATTAGGAGTCTATCGTGTTTACATCAAGGGGGCCTGGGGCTAAATGAGTGCTAGGGTAACCCTTACATCCATCACACTTGCACGGGTATCCCCATCAAGTGGTATTCCACCAGCACGAACTGGAAGCAGTGGAGAATCCGTCCCATAGACGAGAAGATTTTGCTCTAAAGCATAGAATCCAAATACAGAATTCAGAAGGGCACAGCTGTTCTAGAGCTCCCTTGCTCACAGATTGGTGCAACAGCTCAGACGGAGCAGGCACAATCTCCTGGAGGGACTGGGGGGTAATTCACTGCCCTCGTAATCAGCTGGGACAGCGGGCTTCCATTTCTCCGGTCTCCAAAAATGGGCTAACGGGGATGATGTCGCTGCAGCCTATTACTTTTCTGGCATGTTATATCAGGGTCAGAGAGGGGAGTTATGAAGCAGCGTCCGCTGGATGCTGAGTGTGCTCCCGTACGTCAAACGCAGAACCGCAGTGGGACCAGGCCAGAGCAGGGAAGGAGTGTTCTAGTGGACCAGGCGTTCTCTGCTAGCGAGAACAATGAGCCTGAACAATGAGCCAGCTGGCAATGCAGCAGCAGCAAACTGGCAAACACCTGGCTCATGCAGAAGGCAGAGCGAGGCCAACAGTGAATGCAAAATGTCTGGTCTCAAATGATCTGCTTTCAAGGCTACTGAACAGAGTTAGGATATTTGGGGGCGGGGCGAGGAGGAGAGAGAAATGAGGGGCTGGTAGCATTGACTCCAGTGTCGCTAATGCCATGTGTTCAAAAATAGTGAATCAGGCCCCCTTGCAAAATCATGAGATTTGTGGGGGAGGGAGGAACAAAATACAAATTTGAGTTCTCTAGTCTTTTGAATTTTTAGCCTTTGGGCTCATGCTTGGGTCACATTTTCAAGTTTTTCTCTGAAACCAGCAGGGCTAGAAACTTTTTCTGAATGCAGAGCTTCACAGTAATCCTGTGACTCCAGGAGCTGGGGCTTTAATTAAATCATCAAATGCCACATGACTCCAACGGATGGTAAAACTGTAATGCGTCTCTGCTGGTGCTCCTGAGTCCTACCCAGGGCATCCTCTGCTCACCTGGTCTCTGCCCAGAAGAAATTCAAATGAAGCAAAAGTGAGCCAATCCCTAATGAAGGCTCCATGTCTACTTGGTGCATGGAGGAAACCGACTAGCTCATTTCAGTCATGTCAGGGTTTGTGTGAGGTTTCTGTAGTAACCACTCCTGCTCCTCGGCCCTTTCGCTTACGTGGGTTTGATTTACAGTTCTGTAGTGTTGCTCAAAGTTCGTTTTAATACTAGAGATTTTGCTACCAAGCTTCCCACTCATTGCTCTTCCTGGTGCTACTCACTTAAAGCTTCCCTTCTCCCCACCCCCTGCAGTGGGAGTGTTGGCTAGTTGGTGAGTGGCCTAAATGGCTGCCTATGTGCTTGTTGCTCCAGGGCACAAAGAGGAGATGTGAGCCCCTGCCCCTAAGAAGCAGCTTCCAATCTAAATAGACACCCCCAGCACTGCACTAGATGGGGAGAGGAGCAGAGAAGTGCTATTCCGTGAGTGCACTAAGGTTTATAGATTACAGCCAGGAGGGACCATTACATCCTAGGACAGCCTGTGCTGGTTACTAGCTGCCCCAAAGTCTACCCCCATCCTGGGCTTCAAAAGCAAGGGACGCTGACTGCAGAACTGTAAGTGCTTCCACTATGTTGCCTTTAGAGAACAGTCTCTTCAGAGGGAAATGCGCTCTTGTCTCCTAGACTAAACCTGAAGAGAGCTGGAGGGGATGGCACCAACCCCAGCAAAAGGGATGGCACAACTCCCCAGTGTTCGTAGCGAATGGAAATGGGCTGCTCAGTATGATGCCGTCTACTCGGCCGCCACTCCAGTGTAGCACCCACACTTGGGCTCTCCTCCTTGGGACTTCCTGAAGACGCTCTCCTAGCTGCCTTTGCTGTAGGGTTAGAGAGTCCCGTTCCATGAGTGTCTACACACTTAGCAGCCGTGGAACAGGATTAAATGCTAAATTGAAGTTGAAGGGATGTCTGGCTAAATCCTGTGGTGGTGTAGAGCTTTCTCTCCTGCGCACCTTTCCTTCCTCTCTTCCACCGCTCTTCTCTCTGCCCCACCTCCACACACACAGTTTGAGAAGGGCAGGTGAGTGACAGTGACCTTGACCAGCCAGTTTGCTGAGGCTTCTGTTGAGCTGGGAAGAACTTCTACCCCCCCCCCCCCCCCGACACCGTGCACCCAGTGCTGGGCTGGGTGATTTTAGCTAGACTGGGGCAGGAGAGACCATAATGCATCATGTTTTTTCACATTAGGTTGCTCCAGATAGGACCATGGTATAACCGCTCTCTCACTCCTATCCTGACTGACTAGTCCACAGGCCTTTAAATACCTTACAAACCAGAGACGGCCAAGACTTATGATGACCCACTCCCTTTCTCTACTTGTGCGCTGGCTCGTTCTCTACGGGACACTTTCTGGTGGGAATCTTGCTTTCGATGGCTGGAGAGTCCCACTGCTTCTCTGGGGAGACTATTCCAGAATGGAAATAGGTTTCATGGTCTGAAAATGTTTCTGCTCTTGGTTTCATCTCCTTCCACTGAGCTCAGCGCAACTGCCTAAGGTGGGGGTCATCGTTCTGGACCCACACCAGGTTAGTTCTTTGAAAATTGGAAGTCTGCTTTGAGTGGGTGTGACTTCCGACGGCTTTCCTGCTGCTATGGTCAAGCTGCATGTACTGTAAGCTGGGTGTAGCCATCGGTCGACATTGCCGGGCATGTCTCTAACTCCACAAGCACCTTGGGCTGGAGGTGAACCTCTTCAAAGCCTTTGTCTTTGCTATGTTAAGCTGCAACGTCCAACCCTCCTGGGCAGCGTCACAAGTCAAAGCGCTTGATAGGACTAGTGGTGGGAAATTTGCCGCATGGTTACGATGAAGAACGGCTTAGAGCAGGGGACTAGGCGGTGGGAATCTTGTTTTTTTTGTTCTTATCTCTGCCGCTGAATTGCTGTGCTGGGCAAGTCCACTTGCTTTTTCCCCATCTGTTACATGGGGATAGTGGTGCATGAGTCAGACCTGTTGTGATCTTTGGGTAGCACTTGAGGACTCTTGCATGGAAGTCCCTGTAGAAGTGTGAAATGTTGATCTCTAGTACCATATGGCTGAGGAGCGGGGGCTCCCACTGGCCCTCTGGGAAGTGCTTAAAGGAAAGGATTCTGCATGTCTCTCCTTGCGACAAGCACTTAAAGAACTGATGTGCCTCCAGGGGGTCTCCGCGGTGCACAGACCCATTAGCGGTTATCTGCAGTAAATCCATGAAATGGCCATTACCTCACCTTCCCCCTAGAGAGGAAACCGATCAACCTCCTCCCCTGTGCAATCAGCAGTAAGGGCCAAGAAATCTAGGGTCTCACTTTTTTTTTCCTCCCTCCTCCCCGTTTAGCCTGAGTAACTCCTCCTGTTTGAGATGTCGTCCAGCGATAAGAACGGGGGCAGCCGGTCGAGCACCAGCAGCAGCCGCCTGCAGAGCAGGAAGCCGCCTGACCTCTCCATCACCATTCCACCAGTGGAGCTAGAGGAGGAAAGCAGCCAAAAGGTGGTAAGAGGGGGATCCCCAATGTCCCAATGCCTGTTAATTCCCAGGGACCCTGGAGGGTGTGTTTGGGGGCACAGGGGGTTGTAACAGTGGTAAGGGACTAGGGAATGCTGCTCCTCTGGGAGCAGGGTCGAGCTCTGTTCCCCAGCCCAGCACTCATCTCCTGTCCCATTCTGCTGCTTGATTAGAGCCCTGAATGCTGCCATTTTCCAGGCTGCTGCCTAGCTGGCTGCTCAGAATGATCTCCAGGGGGTTAGTTGTTCCCCCATTAGCTGCCCATTATGAAATGGCTTTACAGAGCTCCCTCCCCACAGCATTGCTCTTCCTCCCTTCTGCCAAGGGCTGGAAGCAGGAGCTGTCTAAGGGGCCTGGGATGCGCCAAAGGGTAGGCAGATGGGGTGCTGGGGGTGGGGGGGGCTCAGTTTTTCAATTGGAATTCTTGAAGCTACTCCTTGCTTCCCCATGCCAGCAGAACATCTGAATGTGGGACCCCTCTGTCAAGCTCTTAATTTAATTTAAGGTCAAACACAAGGCATGCCCTGCGAGAACCCAAACATATCGGTAGGAGGTTGAGCCCTGGTGAGAAGTAGGTCAGTCTCTTGGCTGACCGGCTCTGTTCCCGCCGCCTCCCTGAACAGTGGGTTGCAGGGGGATCCCAGCCATACACAGAAATGTGTTCCCCTTCCCAGCTCTGCTCCTAACGGCTTGGCTCCCCTTCCAGCCTCTGAAAAACCCAGTGTATCAAAAGAGCGTGAGCCTACAGGAGCCCAGAGGGAAAAGGGATGAGAACATGTTGGAGAGACGTCCCGGCTTCCACAGACAGACCTCCCTGTCCCAGAGCATCCGCAAGTAAGGAGCGTGTGGCACTGGGTGTCACAGCACCACGTGTCGGACGCTGCAGCACCTGGCGCTAGGCTGTGGGGAGGGGAGCTGAACGGATTTGGCTCCCTGTTTTTCTGGTCTCTGCCTTGGCTGCAGCAGACGTGCTGCGGGACCAGGCGTGGAGGTCGAAGCTGCGTGTGTTTAGAATCAGGAAGTTGAAATAAGTTAACCAGGTCTTGTGTTGGGTTTTCATCTGTTGTGTTTTGCCCAGCTGTCCGCTTTTCCAGGAACAATGCCAGTCTCCTCCCTTAGAATTCGAACTCATGCTTTTCACAGACCTGCGTTTCTCTGTAGTATTTAATCACAGGCGCATTCACTTGTGCTTCTGTTTCAGCACCAAGCTAACAAGCCTGTTTCCAGTGCGGTGCAGGTACCGATGCTGTTGCCAAGAGGTTTGAATTCCTGGCATCCTCTGCTACTGCGGGCCTGGGCCCCTCCAGAGCCGAGGCTGACAACTGAGCTACATTATGGCCTGCGTCTGTGGGTGAAGTGGCTGGGATCAAAGAACTCCTTTCTCCTGTAGTGTGAACGCTTTGAACGTCACGTGCACCTTGCGTGTTCTTAGACCCTTAATGCCATGTCCACCCTGCCATTGTGTATTGCGTTGCAGCACAGGGAGGCACGTTGGTGCGAGCTGTCATCTAGCTAGCATGGCTAAAAGTAACTCTGAAGATGTGATGTTGCAGGCTTCAGCCAGGCTATAAAAGCACCCCGGACATACTTGCATTGCTAACCAAGTTCAGGGTCTGACCCACTGCATCTTCGCCGCTGTTTTCAGCGTGCTCGCACAATTAAAGCTAGCGTGGGTACGCCTGCCTGAGGCTATGTCTACACCGCAAACCACAATCAACGCAAGTTGCGGTGGCACGCGGCTGCTGCAGTTCGTATGTCGCTGAGGCAGGCGTGTCCTCGGCTGCTTGCGCCTGCACTGCGTGTAAAGTGTGATGCCAGCATGCTGTGCACCATCGTCCAGCGCAATGCCTTTTGGGGCACCGTCGCAATGTTTTGTGTAACATTAGTAAGGGTTCACCCAGAGATCTCTGGGAGCAAGGGGCCAAGTACCCAGCGTGCAACTCTCTGGGTCCCATAAGCCCATCCGTTTCCCATCATTTTTGTGCCTTGGTTTAAAACAATCCCACAAATCCACTCCATGCTTTTCAGGCTCTGGCAGAAACCCTGGAGCCCACAGAGTTCTGCACTGTTCTTGTGTACATCCTGCATGCGCTACGTTCAACTCGTCTGACTTTCAGACCCTCAGGAAGTACCCCAACAACCAGGGACATGAGGCTATCTCGGAGGACAGTTGGCTGATGGACATAGTGAGAAACAATTCAGGGTTGCTTGCCGTGTTCGCGAAACGAGCACTGAGCGTTGGGATCACATTGTAATGTAGGTTTGGAATGACAAGCAGTGGCGGCGGAACCGTTGGATGTGACAGGTCACCTTCTTGGATCCGTGTGCAGAGCACACCCCAGCTCCCCAGCACAGGGACACCAGAATAAGAGCTGCATTGACAGTAAGAAGCCTCGGGCTTGGTTCTGACCCAAACACAGCGCATGGTTAATTTGTGTCTCCACTGTGTGGTGGAAAAGTAACGATTGCGCTCTGTAAGTTTGCAATGGGAAAGCATTTTGGCATTGGGAAATTCACAGTGGCGACCACTCTCATGCAAGTGTATAGCCCCATGAATCATATCCTCTTACGCAGGACTGAGACTCTCGGCAACATGCAGGAGCTGCTAGTGGATGGATTTGCAGCAGTGGGGTTCCTGAGCTGCAGTGAGGTGATGGACAGCACTCGTATCCCTATTTTGGCACCAGCCCACCTTGCTACAGAGTACATCAACAGAAAGGGCTACTTTTCCATGATGATGCAAGCGTTGATCAATCACCAGGGATGCTTCACCAATATCCATGTAGGTTGGTCAGAGAAGGTGCATGATGCTCACCTCTTTAAGAACACGGGACTTTCCCAAAAGCTGCAGGCAGGGGCATTCTTTCCTAACTGGTGGATTACCGCTGGCGATGTTGACATGCCAGTGGTGATTCTGCAGGACACAGCCTATCCCTTTTGCTCCCATGGCTCGTGAAGCTGTACGCCAAGAGTTTGCTGTCTGAGGAGACCCATTATGTGCTGGTGCTTTTCCTGCTTCTTGGCCTGCTGGAATTCCCATGCCTTTTTCCTGTCCTCTCTATATCTTTCTCCATGTCGTTGGTCACGTTGGCTCTCCAACCCACTTTGTTGATGGGTGGATGCAGCATTGGCTTATAGGATCTCACAGAACATGTCCTCCCTGGTCCTCATCTGTCTTCTGCTCCTCCACAGGGCCAGGCATTCTGTGGGTGTGGATGGGTCATCCCTCAATGCCTCCAGGTCAGAATAGACCCATGTATCGTTACATTTATAGTCACAACAGAAAGGGAAGAATCAACGTCAAAACTCCCTCCCCTTATTCCCATAAATCCTTTTAATGAGAAATGCCTGGGGATGGTTGTGCTACGGAGCGCCTCAGCTCAGCACCACCCCAGCCATGGTGAGTACGGCCTGCAGGGGCAAGGAGTTGGTTTTGTGTTTCATGAAGCGACAGAATTTCAGCCCCTATTCAGCATGGGTCTGAGTACAGTGCAAGGGCAGTAAATATTGGCATTGGCTTTCACAGGGTGTGGTGGTTTTTATCTGATATTTCACTTGGAAGGGGCACAACAGACCAGTGAGCCCAGCTGCTGTTGGCATCTCGAAGCCGCCTGAGCCCATATGCCTCTGGCCTGTCTCAATGGTGCTAGCTGAACTCCTCACAGACTGGCCTGGGAAAGTGTCCTTCCGCAGCTATGCCTAGAAATGTTAGGGAGAGGCTTGCCTCCATGGCCATTTCATCAAGATCTCTCCAGAGGGTATGAGGGACGTCCATCTCTGTACACAAACTGCTCCTATCCTTCTCTCCCGCCTAACCCAGCGGCTGCCTGCTCTTCCCTGCTTGTTGTACTGTTACCTCTTCTCACACAACGAAAAGTCAGGACACCAGCTTTAAATTTAAACATAGTAAGGAAAAATGTATGCACACACTTCCCCAAGCTCCCTTCCCCTTCATCTGCGGGCTGATCCGCGCTCACGTGGCGGGACTGGCTAGTCTCCAGCAGAGTATTCAATGGATCCTGGCGAGCAGCACGGCTGGAGTCCCCTGCTGTGTGCCCGTGCCCATGCCCAACCCACCCCCCATCCATGACAGGGATCTCCATCCCTGGCTCCTCGGAGGCATCGGCAGTGCTCTGTGAGGTGCTGGTGCAATCTCTGTTGAGCAAGGCATGCAATTTATTGTAAAAGTGTCAGACCTCCGGCACAGCACCAGCTTGACTGTTGCCCTTCCTCACTTTGTGGTATCCCTGACAAAGTTTCTTCGCTTTCACGCGGTCCTGCTGCTGATCCCTGTCTGTGTCGGAACTCTTTGTCTGCATCCCCTGTGCAACCTGCTTGTAGATGTCCGCGTTTCTAGAGCTGGTCCCTAGTTGTGTCTGCACAGCCTCTTCTCTCCCCAGGCCTGGGAGATCAGTCTACTCCAGGCACACTAGCTTGTCTACTGCCTCGTGTGCATGGAGTTGGAATGGTCATCTGGGCAGCGGCACGCTGTGTGATGAAGTGGGATTTTCTGTAATATTTTTATGAATCTCTTGTGTGCCTCTCCCCACCCCGTTCTCCTGCTGGTAATAGCTCACCTTAAGTGATCACTCTGGTTACAGGGTGTATGGTAACACCCATTGTTTCATGTTCTCTATGTATATAAATCTCCCCACTGTATTTTCCACTGAATGCATCCAATGAAGTGAGCTGTAGCTCACGAAAGCTTATGCCCAAATAAATGTGTTAGTCTCTAAGGTGCCACAAGTCCTCCTTTTTCTTTTTGCGAATACAGACTAACACGGCTACTACTCTGAAACCTGTCATTATGCAAGGCACTGAATTTAGCCATATGGAGTGGAAATCTATCCACTTCATGAAAAATCTCGTACAGATACAGACAGACATTATCTTCCTTTCCAAATGCAAACAGACGGACATCATACCAAAAGGACTGAAGGTAAAAAAAAATCCATTACAATCTACATACCACACAGACTATGCTGACAGCTTGTGCCACACGCTCTCAAAGAAACTGCGGAACCACCTGATCAACATCCTCTACAGCAAACAGGGAAAGATTAAGAATGAGCTCTCAAAACTGGATACTCTCATAAAAAACCAACCTTCCACACAAACTTCCTCATGGCTGGACTTTACAAAACTAGACAAGCCATTTACAACACACACTTTGCTTCTCTACAAAAGAAAAAGGACACTAAACTACTGCATGCCACAAGGGGCCACAACAGTGGTTCCCTTAACCCACCCAGCAATATTGTTAATATATCCAACTATACTCTTAGCCCAGCAGAAGAATCTGTCCTATCTCGGGGCCTCTCCTTCTGCCCCTCCACCCCCACGAACATGATACAGTTCTGTGGTGACCTAGAATCCTATTTTTGATGTCTCCGATTCAAGGAATATTTCCAACGCACCTCTGAACAACATACTAACCCACAGAGACCTTCCTACCAAGACTACAAAAAGAAAGATTCTGCGTGGACTCCTCCTGAAGGTCGAGACAGCAGACTGGACTTCTACATAGAGTGCTTCCGCCGATGTGCACGGGCTGAAATTGTGGAAAAGCGGCATCACTTGCCCCATAACCTCAGCCATGCAGAACACAATGCCATCCACAGCCTCAGAAACAACTCTGACATCATAATCAAAAAGGCTGACAAAGGAGGTGCTGTCGTCATCATGATTAGGTTGGAATATGAACAAGAGGCTGCTAGGCAGCTCTCCAACACCACTTTCTACAAGCCATTACCCTCTGATCCCATTGAGGGTTACCAAAGGAAACTACAGCATTTGCTCAAGAAACTCCCTGAAAAAGCACAAGAACAAATCCGCACAGACACCCCCCTGGAGCCCCGACCTGGGGTATTCTATCTGCTACCCAAGATCCATAAACCTGGGAATCCTGGATGCCCCATCATCTCAGGCATTGGCACCCTGACAGCAGGATTGTCTGGCTATGTAGACTCCCTCCTCAGGCCCTATGCTACCAGCACTCCCAGCTATCTTCGAGACACTACTGACTTCCTGAGGAAACTACAATCCATCGGTGATCTTCCTGAAAACACCATCCTGGCTACTATGGATGTAGAAGCCCTCTACACCAACATTCCACACAAAGATGGACTACAAGCCATCAGGAACAGTATCCCCGATAATGTCACGGCAAACCTGGTGGCTGAACTTTGTGACTTTGTCCTCATCCATAACTATTTCACATTTGGGTACAATGTATACCTTTAAATCAGTAGCACTGCTATGGGTACCCGCATGGCCCCACAGTATGCCAACATTTTTATGGCCGACTTAGAACAACGCTTCCTCAGCTCTCGTCCCCTAATGCCCCTACTCTACTTGAGCTACATTGATGACATCTTCATCATCTGGACCCATGGAAAAGAAGCCCTTGAGGAATTCCACCATGATTTCAACAATTTCCATCCCACCATCAACCTCAGTCTGGACCAGTCCACAAAAGAGATCCACTTCCTGGACACTAGCCTGCTAATAAGCGATGGTTACATAAACACCACCCTATACCGGAAACCTACTGACCGCTATTCCTACCTACATGCCTCCAGCTTTCATCCAGACCACACCACACGATCCATTGTCTACAGCCAAGCTCTACGATACAACCGTATTTGCTCCAACCCCTCAGACAGAGACAAACACCTACAAGATCTCTGTTAAGCATTCTTACAACTACTATACCCAGTGAAGTGAAGAAACAGATTGACAGAGCCAGAAGAGTACCCAGAAGTCACCTACTACAGGACAGGCCCAACAAAGAAAATAACAGAACGCCACTAGCCATCACCTTCAGCCCCCAACTAAAACCTCCAGCGCATCATCAAGGATCTACAACCTATCCTGAAGGACGACCCATCACACTCAAAGATCTTGGGAGACAGGCCAGTCCTTGCTTACAGACAGCCCCCCAACCTGAAGCAAATACTCACCAGCAACCATACAACAGAACCACTAACCCAGGAACCTATCCTTGCAACAAAGCCCGTTGCCAACTGTGTCCACATATCTATTCAGGGGACACCATCATAGGGCCTAATCACATCAGTCACACTATCAGAGGCTCGTTCACCTGCACATCTACCAATGTGATATATGCCATCATGTGCCAGCAATGCCCCTCTGCCATGTACATTGGTCAAACTGGACAGTCTCTACGCAAAAGAATAAATGGACACAAATCAGACGTCCAAGAATTATAACATTCAAAAACCAGTCTGAGAACAGTTCAATCTCTTTAGTCACTCAATTACAGACCTAAAAGTTGCAGTTCTTCAACAAAAAAACTTCAGAAACAGACTCCAATGAGAGACTGCTGAATTGGAATTAATTTGCAAACTGGATACAATTAACTTAGGCTTGAATAGAGACTGGGAGTGGATGGGTCATTACACAAAGTAAAACTATTTCCCCATGTTTATTCCCCACCCCCCACTATTCCTCAGATATTCTTGTCAACTGCTGGAAATGGCCCACCTTGGTTATCACTACAAAAGGTTCCCACCCCCCGCTCTCCTGCTGGTAATAGCTCACCTTAAGTGATCACTCTTGTTACAATGTGTATGGTAACAACCATTGTTTCATGTTCTCTATGTATATAAATCTCCCCACTGTGTATTCCACTGAATGCATCCGATGAAGTGAGCTGTAGCTCACGAAAGCTTATGCCCAAATAAATGTGTTAGTCTCTAAGGTGCCACAAGTACTCCTTTTCTGTGTGCCTCAGTTTCCCATATATGCTGCGTTGTTGCCCGGTGAGGGGAAAAGGACTGCTTGCTCTCAGGGCAGGCTCAGAGACATGGGTATTAATGCTGCCTGCCTGGCTGAGCTTGAAATGAGCCATTTTAAAAAAAAGACTAGTTGAGACCGACCTCCTGTCAATGGAAGATACAAGAAGAGGCTGGCAAATCCAATCACCCAGGGCATTGATACCTAGCCACCAAGGACCCAGCGGGAGGCAGATTTCCCCACCTCTCCTCAGGGAAGCTGAGCAACATTCCCAAGCTGGAGAACAAAGGACTGGAGAGGTGAGGGGGTAAAAGCTGGCTGCTGGAAAGAGTCTGGGCTCTAATCTGGAACCTGACCCAGGAGGTCAGACCAGAGCCTGAACAATGGCGTTCACCCAGCTTGGCTGGGCTCTGGGCTAACCAGAACGGCCTACACTTTAACCTTCCTTTCCCTATACTACTCTAAGGACTTCACTGTGCTGCAGTTGACTAATAAACTCGACTGTTTCTTGACAACGCTGTGTGTGTGTGTCACTGTGAATGCTTGGGGAGGTGCATGAAACCCTGCAGAGTGGACAAGTCTCTAGCAGGGGCCTGTCTCAGCTGGACTTGTTGAACAGAGCTCCTGGTGTGAAGCTGAAGCCCAGAGGTTCAGCAGTAGAAGGCAGTGAGGCCATATGGCTCACCCTGTAGGAAGAGAGAGACTCCTTGGGGGTCTGGCACGCTGAAGGGGTTCCTCCGAGGACTATTTCAAAGCTGGCAGCATAGCACTGAATCTCTGGATCTATGATGCACACAACAAAGGTGATCAGCTAGGTTTGCTCATCCAGGTGGGCAATCGGGGGAAAAATCAATTCAAAAATACTCAGTTTGTAAAGGGAATGTGGTGGGCTTCCGGTCTCTGAACCCTGGGCAGTGGAGTTTAAAATTGTGTCCAGAGCAGTCACTGTTGCAGGGAATGGGGCATTGTGGGACAGCTGTTGGCAGATATGTTAGGATCGACACAGGTCATGCAGTATCTACACTCTCGCTGCGTTGACCTAAGTAGGTCCACTAAGGCTCTACACGGTTGGGGGGAGGATGGTTTTACTGCATTGTCGTAATGGGGCACTTACATGAGTCAGAGACACATTTGAGTGTAGACATGCGCATAAAGAGGTCAATGCAAAGCGACTTATGTCAACCGAATTCAGTATTGTAGAGCAGGCCCCAGTTGCAGTGTGGACAATATCCGAAGTTGCTTATAGCTCTGGAGGTGACAGTCGTGGTGTCTGAGATGTGTATGGTGTAAAAGGCTCAGAGATGGTCTATTTCAGATACTATTTTGCACTCCAATTCTGTATTTAAATGACTTGCCGCGTTCTCGGTCGTGTGGACTTAGTCCCTTTGCATGCAGTATTCCTCCAGTAGAGATGAGCACTGTGTTTCTCTCAACACTTGCTTTGGCAGGGGCACAGCCCAGTGGTTTGGTGTCAGCAGTGACTGGGAGGGAAAGCGGGAGCACTGGCAACGCAAGAGCCGGCAGCACTGCAGCCTGCGATATGGCAAGCTCAAGGCCCCCTACCGAGACATGGAGCTACCCAGTCAGGAGGTGCCCTCCTTCCAAGGCACCGAGTCACCGAAGCCATGCAAGATGCCCAAGGTAAAACTCTCAAGAGTGTGGCCGAAAACCCACTCACAGCAGGGTTCACTTGCATAATGTGTATCTTTGTGTCTCCCTTTTCTGTCTCTTACGTTCATGTGCACAAGGAGCTAAAAACCAAACCTAGTTCACTAACTTCTACCTCTCTGTCCATGTGACTCTTAAGATCGTAGACCCTTTGGCCAGAGGCCGTCCGTTCCGGCATCCGGATGAAGTCGATCGTCCTCGGACCCCTCATCCTGTTCTACCACCCCAGACGCCTGGAGTCCTCTCCCTAACATCTTTCACCAGTGTGCGGTCAGGCTACACCCGTTTGCCCCGTAGGAAGAGGGAGTCTGTCGCCCACATGAGCTTCAGGGCAGCTGCGGCTATAATCAAAGTGAGTTCTGCTTATGAATGCATTCCCAGCTGAGCTGCTGCCTAGTGAACCTTCCTCCGAGACTTGTCCAGGGCACCCTTATGTCCTGTCACTTGTGCGTTCCCAAGTTCTGAACTGGAGCCCTTACTAAGGTTCTCCCAGGGCTCTACAAATGCAGTCATTTTTTCCCCCTCAACACTTAATGCAAGACAATTTTTCATTGCATTCTGGGACACTTTGCAGACCCCTACATGGTTTGATACTTTTGCAAGATGTTTTGGTTGGATGACGTACGCAATGCCTATCTACATATTGCAGTGCTTTATTTTAAGCAGAATTTTAGCTAGAAAAGCTCAGTGGTTTGAGGGAACCGTGCACTGTTTAAGAAAATCAGCACTGAATGGCAACCTTTAACATGTGGAGGTTTTCAGATTTCATTGCAAACGTTGCATGAAACCCTTGTCATGGCTGGTGTTGCTGCTGGGGCCCATTAACAGGCCTGCTCTGCACTAGAGAATAACCTGGTTTCACAGGCTGTATGAACCAGATGTGGCTCACCTTGTAGGCAGAGGTGGTTGAAAATTTTCTGACAAAACCGTTTTCCATCAGACCATGCTGATATGACAAAATCAAAACACGTTATCGGAATGTATTGATTTCACTGACCTGGGGAAATGATGAAGAACGTTACATTTTGAGAAGGCCAAAATGTTTAGACTTTGAATTTAGTATTGTAGTCAAAACCTCATAGACACCCACTGTTTTGTGTCTCACAAATTTGGAGATTTTGACTTTTGGGCCCGATTTGGGACAAAACCAGATTTCAGAATCTCTCTCAATTTTCTACAGGATGGAAAGGCCAAATTTTGATCAGCCCTAACCATCGAGTTTGGCAACACTGGCTTTTTGAGCTATGTTTTAACATGTTAATGTACATTTAATCTGCAGCAAGGGAGGTTTACGTCAGATGTTAGGGGGGCAACTTTCTAACTCTAAGGGCAGTTAAGCTCCGGAACAGACTTCCAAGGGAGGTTGTGGAATCCCCATCACTGGAGGTTTTCAAGAACAGATTGGACAAACACCGGTCAGGGATGGTCTAGGTTTGCTTGGTGCTGCTTCAGCACAGGTGGCTGGACCTGCTGACCTTGGAGGTCCATTCCAGCCCCACATTTCTCTGACCCTGACTGTGAATTCTAGTGTGGGCAGGACAAGCGTTGTGTTTAGCTCGAGGCTGGAGTTTGATGGCTGCACTTGCCTTTTTACTGAGTGTTCTAATAACTTAGTGTTATAATATTTGATCCAATGCTTATGTACTGCTGGGTGCTGGTGGAGGTGCATGCAACACTTTGCAAACTTCCACAACAGAGATCTGAAATGCTGACGGATTCCTTCTTTGGGAAATCTGTGTGCAGATTCCCGGCCATGCAGGTTAATCAACTTGATGTTCAGCCCCAAAATGGCCTGCTGGTCCCCCACTATAGTAGGGCAAAGTACAGCTTTCCTAGTGCATTTCATCACCCAGTGTTTTGCCTTTTCCTCAATGAAAGGGACGTTCAGTTTTGGAGCCCTCGCCATCGAAACACAGAGGCAACAAGCGGAGCTTCCTGTATCCCAGCTTCCTGGATGAGGACATGGTGGATGCTGCAGATACACTGGACTCCTCATTCTTCAGTAAGGCAAGCATGGTTCCATGATATCCTAGCTTCACCCCCTTTCCCCTGTGGCTTTTCCCTTGGGGCTGAGTCACCAGGTCTTGGAACCCCTGTGGCTGGTGATGCATTCTGTGAGACCCCGGGCTGGCCCTGTTGAGACTCCACTCTGAGCATGTTGATGGAAACTGGGGCTTCACTTCCCTAGTGCTGATATTTTGATTGTTTTAAACCCAGTGTAAATTTTCCCTCTCTTCCCCCTTTTATTTTAAATCTTTCTGACACTGGTGCATGGCATCCCAGGCTGTTATCTTACAGGTCCCGTGCCCTAGAGAGCTTTTACTGCTTGGGACGTTGACCTTGCCTTCTATCGCCCAACACCAAATAATTCCCCTGCCATCCCAATCTCGCTCTGTTAAACTTGTTGCTTTTCACCGTTTTGGGGTGGGAGGGTTGCTTAATATGCTGGGAGCGAGTTCAGTTTTGAGTAGTAAGGGGCCCAGAGGCTACAGTCTCTATTCACAAGCAAAGTGGAAAATACACCTTAATTATTGTCACCGGTTTCTCCCTACGTACATCCTATCCCACAGCAGCAGCGCTTAGCCACATCTACACTGCGGGGACTATAGCAGCGTAGCTCTGGCGATGTAGCTATGCTGGCTCAACCTTGTCATGCAGACGACGCCAAGAGAATTCCTCCATCAGCCTAGCTGCATCTGCTCCAGGGGCTAGGTCAGCATCGTTATGGCGCTCAAGGATCTAGACTTTCATATCCCTGAATGGGGTAGCGAAGACAGCCTAAGCTTTAAGTGTGGCCCAGGCCTTCAGTCTGATTTAGATTGTAAGCTCTGCAAGGCTGGGACTTTTTGTGCAGCACCTAGCCCAAAGGAGCCTCAATCTCCGCTGGTTCTTAGACATAACTGTAATAAAAATGATTTTAATAGAGCATCTCCAGCACTGTAGAACCCAGATAATCTGTGAGTTCTTTGGGCAGGGAAAGCCATGGTCTTACAAATGGGACAGGAACTCTGTTGGTGCTCGGTGAATCAATGATCAGATACCACAATGCCGTGCTAAGCATAAATCTCTCCATTGAATTAATGGTTGATCATCCCACATTGTCTCACAAGGCCCTGTCCTGAAGCCAGGTCTGAGCCAGGAGTAAGGTTGGTTGGGATGCCATCTGGATCACTTATCTGTCTGAACTAGTCCATCACGCACGTGTCTCTACTGTGTCCCTCACAGATAGATGCGCACGAGGAGATGTATTCCATGCCGGATGACGTGTTCGAATCGCCACCCCTCTCAGCTGCTTACTTCCAAGGGCTTTCTCACCTGGACGGCGCCCGATCCTCTGAGGTGGAACAGCCTGTTCTGTGAGTATTGATTCTGGCTCGGGGCTGTGCGGGCTCGGGGCTGTGCCACAGAGATTTGCCCAGTGCCTCAGACTTGACATGTGCTGTCCTAGATAGCTTCTGAGCTGACCCATTGCGCTGAATGGTGCTGGGGGGCTGGAGTTGGGTTAGATATCCAGAAAGGACTTGTCCCCATTCCTTTCCCTGGCAACTCCTTTCACTTCAGGCAATACTGGCCATGCTGTGATGAGGCCATGCTCGAAAGGGAGTAAAGCATTTAACTCCACCTCTTCGAAGGGAATTGAATTAAATGCTTCTCGCTGCAGGAAGGAAGGTGTCGGGTTCTCGGTGTCCGCAGTCCCCGGCCCCAAGAGAGGCAAGCGGATTGCTTCCAAAGTGAAGCACTTCGCCTTTGACCGCAAGAAGCGATACTACGGGCTGGGGGTGGTGGGCAAGTGGCTGAACAGGACGTACCGCCGGAGCATCAGCAGCACGGTCCAGTCTCAGCTGGAGAACACAGACAGTCACAGGTGAGGGCCGGGCTCTGGCTGGCTGGGGCGGGTGTGGTTATAATGGGCTGGGCTGATACTGGATCCTCATGCTGCCCCATATGTAAACGCTGGGCCTGGTTCTTGATGTTGACTGGTATGGAGTTACTCCTGATTGACGCCAGGGGAGCGAGATCAGGGTCGGGGCCTGTCAGTTCAGCGTGGCCCACGCTGAGTGGTTCCAAACATACGCAGCAGGGGGGCTCTATTCGCTTCAGTTCCAGTACCTTCGCGGGCCCCTCGTCTGAGCAGAGATCCTCCCAGACAAGGAGCTGCGTGGAGAGGCGGGTGGTCAGGGAAAGGGCTCTGATGACTTGACTTCTATTTTAGTGGTTATGGATGCAAAATATGCCTTGCACTGGGGTTGTGAAATACTAACTAAAGCAATCCCAACAGCAGCTCCACCAAGGCGCCTCCGAACCCAACCTACATATCCCTGTCCTGAGCCCCTCCTACATCTGACCTAATTTGCCATGTCCTGCTGCGTCGGATGTGGGCATCTCCAGCCTGCTGGTTTAATGTGAGTGAAGGTTGGCAGGGATGGAGCTGCTCAGTCTGTGAAGAGTGACCCTTGTTTGTGTTTCCCTTCCCCTCCCCTAGGCCGTATTTCACCTATTGGCTCACCTTTGTCCATATCATCATCACCCTGCTGGTTATCTGCACGTACGGCATCGCGCCAATCGGGTTTGCCCAGCACGTGACGACAGAGTTAGTAAGTTTAATCGATACTGGCTGTGCCTATTGTGGGGTCTTGGTGCTGTCTAGCCTATCGAGTCCCTTGGGCTAATGGTACCTTTGGCACTGCCTGTCTCTCTGGGGAATCCTGTCTCTAATGCCAGGACTCCAGTAGCTGATTTAAAGCAAGTCTGTTGCCCCAGCTCTGCTGAATGCCAGCAAAATGGGGATTATCCCATGCAGGCTTAATTCTCCAGCATCTCTCCAGGCATACAGTTAGCCAGGTGGCTCCCTTTCTCTCCTAGGTACCCAGGCACTGAAAGGAAGGCAGGAATTAAGCTTCCTGGGAAGATGGCCAACATTTATTCTTTCCTGTAATCTTTTTTTCTTCTCTTAACCTCACACTCTGGAAAAAGCAGCCGTTGTACTACCTCCCACTGAACATGTACAGACAGACTTGGATTTCTTTCGGTTTTAAATGGCCTCAGGAGTGATGGGGTTACCATGTTTAGTGTCTTTGTGACTCCATATCAAACGTGCTCAGTTTCTGAGCAACAGGAATGTCTTTTCCCCCTCGCTGATCACCCTGAAATCCAGCCTGGGATCTCAGTAGCAAGGATGGTCCAGTGGATAAAGCACTGGACTGGACTTGGGAAACATGAATCAAATTCCCAGCCCTACCACTGTCTTCCAGTGTGACCTTGGGCAAGTTACTTGATCGTCCTGTTTCTCCTTCTGTAAAATGAGGTAGCACTGCCCTACCTTGTAGGGGTGCTGAGAGGCTCAAATCTAATCATGATCATGAGGTGAGGCTGCATAAGTACATAGAAAGACTTGAAATGAAGCTGGTCTTCCCCTGTGGGCCAAGTTATTCTCTAAATTATACCTGGGCAACACAATGAAAGCTCCTATGTCGTTAAGGCCCTTCACTGCTCTATGAGACAAAGAGAACCCAGCCTGACTCTTGGATCCCAGGCCAAGTTTGCAGGGCTGGCAGTTGGAAAAATCCATCTTGTTAAACCTTGGGTCCTTTTTGCTGTGAATTACACTGTGTGACTTTTAAACGTTGTGCCCTCTTGGCAGGTGCTGAGGAACAAAGGTGTGTATGAGAGTGTGAAGTACATCCAGCAGGAGAACTTCTGGATTGGCCCAGGCTCGGTAAGGGATATGTCTAGGTTGTTTTGTTTTGGTTTTTTTTTCCTCTCCTCCTTTGCCCTGCAGGAAGCAGAGAGGAACGTACCCTTTAGCGCAGAGGGAAGGAGAAACAAGGTTCTAACAGCTGCTGTCCAAACGTCTCTTGCACACAGCTTTATCCAGCAGGTCAGGCCTGACCTGTTGCAGCCCCATGCTGTTCCGTCTCTAGGCTCTCTTTCAACCCCCATCTGTGTTGCTGGTAACTTTTTGTGATGTGGCTCAGCCCACTGAGTGCTATAGACTGTGACTATTCTTGGGGTACCCCGGACTGAGAGCCACCTTGTTACCCCCTAGCCTTGTCTGGGGTGCCTGGCTGTTAGTTCCTCACCCCACCAGACTTTCAGCCACTCCAGCGCTCTCCCATCTGCCTTGCAGGATCACAGCAGGTGCACCCAAGTCCCTTGGAAGCACTCCCCTGTGATATCCAGCCTCTGAAACTGGCTACACGCAGAAATCCCAGATCCTCTGTCCCAAAGGTGCAGTGTACGCCAGTTTTCCCTTAAACCACCGCTTCTGTATAACCCACAGCACTTTAATGGCACAAAAGATGGCTTGTATTGAATTGTATTGTGTTTCAGATTGACCTGATCCACCTGGGAGCCAAGTTCTCCCCTTGCATCCGCAAGGACCAGCAGGTTGAGAAGCGCATTCAAAAAGAGAGAGAGCAGGAGCGTAACTCGGGCTGCTGCGTCCAAAACGACAACTCGGGCTGCATCCAGACTCAGCGAAAAGACTGTTCGGTGAGTGCGATAGGCTGCCTATCGGCTATGGGACAAGAAAACCTCCAGGAATCCCAAGGACAGCTGCAAGACTAATGCAGACAGGACTTTGGGGTGTGTACGATGTGGGGGAGGGGGAAGACTGTCTACTTGCTGTGATTAGGTCAGGGAAGGAACCAGGAAAGATACCTGCTAGCGAAGAACCAAGAGAGTGGTGAGGCAAGGTGGGGTTCAAGTGTAAAGTGGTGCTGACCTCTGGCTTTGTCTCATGTACCATTTTAACTTGTTATAAGTCAAGCGTTAGGAATCAGGACCTCCCTTCTGATGGCTCCACTTAAGTTTCCATCTCTCTTTGTGCCTAATGGTCTCCGCAAGCTAAGACTCTTAAATATGAACAATGCTGGAATTCCACTGTGCTTACCTTATTCTTATGCTTCTGCGTATTAACACTACAGAGACCATTAGACACAAAGGAAACATAAGAGGAGCCCATCAGATGGTAAGTCATGATTCAGTTCACACCATCTCAGGGACCCAATGAACCTGAAAATTAAAACTAGACTGGATCTTTTATACCCCTGCTTTATGCAGCTCATGGGATATACACCATATTGAATCACTTTCCATGATCACAGCAAGATTAATATCTGCCTACTATGTGGCACTTTAGATCCTCTCTAATTGTGCTTCTAATTATTATCTCACATCACTTATTTCTTAATTCCTGTACCCATTCATGTGATGGGTTACTCTTTTAATGGAATCTTCCATGTTAGCTGCACCAGACATGATGAGAGAGCAGCAGGTGGTCCTTCCTACCAACTCTGCACCTGGTACTGCTCTTCCTGGCTGCATGCAGCAGAGATGACTTTAAACATTGTGCGTATAGATGCACAATGTTTACTGGTGGTCTTGCACAGCAACTGGCAGTGTGCAGGGCTCTGCACATGTGGGTGTCATGTCACATTGCTGTGCCACCAGGAGAGGCAAATTCAGTTGCTCTTTGAAGATGTTTTCTTCAAGTGGGCCCACTGGATGGATAACAGCTAATGTGTTAAGCAGGGTCAAATGCTGACAACGAAGTCATGAATGATACATGCAAGAAATTCAACACACTGTCGCTTCCGTTTAAATAATATGAATTATGACTAGGGTGTGCTGCCACAGATTCCAAGATTTGTGCAATGCTTAGGGGTGATTTCTTGCACCTGATTGCTTTCGCTCACTTTTTAGAGAACATCCTAAATAACACAAATTGATTTTAATACAATTGTTTTTCCCAATGTAAGTCTCTTTAATGTCGTGATAGCTACACAACATTAAAGAGAATTACAAAGGGAATTAGGGGGAGCTCACCCACAGGACAAGAAGCTCACTAAAACAGCCATCCAGGAGGCAATATATGATTCCAGGATGGCTCTTCCACCCAAGCGGGTGGATATTTGGAAGTGCAGAGAGGAATTGTGGGGTCTGACTGAATGGACCCATGTTCGAATGAGCTGGTTTGAACACATCAAATCTATGTATCTGTTTAACAACTAAAAAACCCCACACTCCAAATTCCCATTCTCTGGAACTGCAGGAGACGTTAGCAACTTTCACAAAGTGGCCAGATTCTAACTCCCCGACGATGCTCAGCAATTCCAGCTGGAAGCGAACATCCGGGGCTGTATGCCATCAGGACCCCAGGTATGGGCACCACGCCGGAGAAAGGGGAGGGAACAGGAGGGGTAGTTGAATAGGAACGAGGCATTGGAGGCAGGCCGTGATAAGTCTCCATGTCTGCAGGGGGGGCTTGGGAACCATATACCATGGGTGGAGGTGGGTGGGTCTTGGCTTTGCTATTTCCAGCTCTGCTATAAAAGGGTTGTACTGAGGGAGAATGTTCATGCCCATGGCACCTTGCATCTGAGGCTCTCAAAGCACTTTTCCAAACACACGTGTTCCATTTTAAAGATAGGGAAGGAGAAACTGAGTGAACTGAAACCAACTTACCTGAGCTCTCACAGAAAGTTGGCATCAGCTAGAAGTAGAACCCAGAAGCCCTGACTGCCAGTCTTGTGCTGTAACCATGTCTGTCTGTTTGTCTTAATTCATGGGGTGAGATAGAGGAGAAATGCATTTACCCATTGGATGCTTACATTTGTGTGCATGTGACCCGGGCCTCTGGGCATGTGACACGGTCCACCCAAGAGCACATTAAACTGTCTGTGTTAGGGAGCGCACACAGTCCCCTTCCTTGTACTGCCGCAGTCAGCCCAGGCATGGTCCATAGTAAAGTCTGGCCCTCAGAGACCAAAGAGAATGAACTGGGGACTCTGCACTGAGGTGGGAGGAGAGAGAAGCTACCCAGACCCCTGTGAGTGCTCGTCCAGGACTGACAGCCCAGAGGGTTTCGCTGTCAGAGGGTCCCAGACAAAGGCTGCACCAGCAGAACCCTTCCTCACTGATTGCTCCACCCCCACAGGACGTGCGAGGAGCCAGCCTCCACCCCGCCTCACGTCTGGCCAGATGACATTACCAAGTGGCCGGTAAGGAGTCTCCTGGGAATATTTTGCTGTTTCCCTTCCCGTTCATCGCGTTCTGGGAGAGGCCTCCTGGCCTAGAAAGACAGAGAAATTACAGGCTGCTTTTGGACCAAGCTGGGGAACCCCTGTGACCAGAGAAGTGCCAGTGTGGATGTAACATACCCCAGCATGATGGGTCTGGGTGGTGGAACTCCCCCTTGCCCACTATCCATCTGCACTTATGCACTCAGCTGCAGTATGTGCATGTCTCCCCGTCCTATAACCAGTTCTTTACTTTTCCTTTTAGATTTGCACCTATCAAGCCAAAAACAACCACACAGGCTTTTTGCACCTGGACTGTGAGATCAAAGGGAGACCGTGCTGTATCGGTACCAAAGGCAGGTAAGCTGCAACCATGCTCCTCCAGGCAGCATTCCTGATGCGACTGGACCTTGCCATGCCAGTGGTTAAGATCCCTATTCTACTCATAGCATTAGTCTTGTGTTATACGGGTAAAGGAGAGGGGACAGAGCCAAGGGCTGATCTGAGACAACTGCTCTGGACCCAGTGGGGTAAAGCTCATTCCCACTGGCCTTGCATGCCTGACTCTGTCGTCATGTACCCAGAGGAATGTAGAATGTGCATGGAAGCGACTACTGTGCCCTTGGGAGACCAGTGTCCTGGGGCTATGCCTTATCATAGGAGGGTTTGCTTCTTCAGTTAACTTCCTTGGGATCTTTCTTGGAAAAGATGCTTCCTTCTGGGACATCAGTCATTGACTTAAGGCCCCTGTAGGTCTGTTGTGATGGGCAGATAGCCCTTCTTGTGAAAGGCAGAAAATGCCCCAGGGCATTAATAAGCTGGGAGCTGCAAGTTTCAGCCAAACCCTGTAAATGCAGTGTGGAGTTAAGCAGCTAGGCCAGACTGAGCCTGGATAGACTCCTCCATCTTGTCCCTGGGCCGAGGGAAGAATAAATGAGGATCTGGGCTTTGAGCGCGCAGGGGAAGGGAACGGGATCCCTGCATGAAGTGACCCCACCTTGTCCTCCTTTGAGCTAGCTGTGAGATCACCACACGGGAATACTGCGAGTTCATGCACGGCTACTTCCATGAGGAGGCAACTCTCTGCTCGCAGGTGAGCCGAGCCTGGGGCAGCTGGGCTAGAGAAATGCTGTGCGGGGGGCCTAACGCTCAGTCTGTGCTTCCCTGAGCTGAATGCTTTGTGTGTTGGCCAATGGCCAGGCTGGCGGTGTATCTCCATCGGGGGCGGTCTGCCAGCTGCCTTGAGGAGCTGGATCAGCACACCGCTCGGTGGTGGCTGGGAATAAAAAGGGGTAGATCCTTGCTGGTCCCAGGCAGAGCAATCCTAGGGACGAGGGCATGCTCTGAGAATGACGAGCCTGATCAATAAAGCAGCATCCAGCCCTGAAGCAGCCTGCAATGGTGTATCAGCACCTACCAGGCAGGAAAAGGCACTTCCTGGGTATAAGATTGGGCGCCAGAGAAGTCCACCCACCCCGTATCTCTGCTGGGCACCCACGCTGCCCTGGCGCTGTGCCCCTTAACCTGTGGGAGTCACACTCCCCTCTGACCTGACCCATTCATGGTGGGGTTTTCAATGAATGAGCCATGGGCAGGTCGAGGCTGCTTTGCTGGACCTGATAAATAGCCTGAGAACGTGCTTTGCTATGAGTTGGCTGTCACCTGTGCTCTCCCTCTCCAGCCTCCATTCGTCCCTCTGGGATGTGGCCGTGAGCCAGCGCTGCTCATTTCACCCTGTAGCGCTTTCCCTTCCCTTTCAGGTCCATTGCTTGGATGATGTGTGTGGCCTCCTGCCCTTTCTGAACCCAGAAATCCCCGATCAGTTCTACAGACTCTGGCTGTCCCTTTTCCTTCACGCCGGGTAAGAAGCAGGGTGGGTGCGGGGAGGGGATCCTCCGTTTTTCCAAGAGCCTCCCTCTGCAGGCATGTCTCAGACAAGCCCACTGATGCTCATGCAATCAAATGAAGTGCCCCGGACCAGGGATGCGACTAGCCATTGGACGGTGGCATGCCCATTGGTTGATCCAGTCTCATTACTCCCTGACGTGACAGATGCTATGGGTAAAGGGCTAATGAAGAAGAGCATGAAACTGCATTTCCCCCACCCAGCCTCCAAGAATGAAAATGAGCTGTCCCTGCACCCAAACAGTCTCTTCCCATCCTCCCGTAGCTGCCAATCCAGACTCCTCTGCTGGGACAGTTCTTGTAGGAAATGAGTTTGGTTTTGATTTAGATGAAGCCCGAGTAGCTCTAATCCCCACTGTGAGTGGGCGATGGAGTGGGGTGAGAGGGAACGGGATAGGTGCAGAGGGTTGCAGACTAAGCATCTGTGTGTATATTTCCATAGGATAGTTCACTGCCTGGTATCAGTGATCTTCCAGATGACAATCCTCAGGGATTTGGAGAAGCTGGCAGGCTGGCATAGGATCTCGATCATCTTCATCCTCAGCGGCATCACTGGCAACCTGGCCAGTGCCATCTTCCTTCCATACCGGGCAGAGGTAAGGGTGCTCTGAGACCCAGGGGTGGGGTGTTTGCCGTTGTCGCTCTTTAGCCCTGCCAGCTTTCAGGCACTCTCGCCATCAGCCAGAGATCTAGGGCCTCGCGGGGGACTGACCGTTAACAGCGTTGTTTAGTGCAGTTGCAAGGTGCTGGTTTGACGTCCCTGTGGACTGAAGCCCTCTAGCTATTCCCAAAGCAGGTACAGCACAGGCTCCAACAGCACCAGCTGCCCTGCCCTGCCCTGCTGATGGGCCTCAGGCTGCCCCTTCTCTGGGGACCAGCTGTGAGGGTGAAAAGGGCTTGGCCCCCCTGCTCAAGGCTATGAGTCCGAAGCATGTGGAGTAACCCAGAGACCCAGCCATGGCTTAATGTGCAGGAACTGCCTGGTGGTTCTGCATGGCAGGTCCCCCGTACGCTGGTCCATTCTGCCCTCCGTACAGTGTGTGATGCCAGGCTGCTCTCGGGTTGGTGGCCTGAGCTCATTTAACATTCTCTGTCGTGGGCATTCAGCCAGCAGCTGTTTTCCCTGGTACCCTTTGCCCTTTCTGTGCCTGATGCTGCTCGTCACACCACCCGGGGAATAGCTGAGAGGGCACCTCTGTCGGTTCCTTGTAACAGGCAACTTGGCCCCCGGGCTCCTGACCCAGACCCAGAATGTGGGCTCGGTAGCCTGTGACGCAAAGGAAATGGATAACGGGATTAACCACCACAGCAAGATGGAGAGAGGTAGGGGAGAAAATCAGTGGTAGCGGTCCAGCTTTCTCGACTTCTTAAACCGATTGCTCTAGTTCCTGAGCTGAGAAGGGAGGTTTTGGAGGGATTTATAGGTGACCCCAGTCTGCAAGGCAGCTGCTGCCTTTCACTCATTCTTCCTCCTTGCTGCTTCCACCCCACACTCCCTGACCTTGCGGGGGGGAGGGTCTCCCCACTGCACAGCCTTTTGCTCACTCAGAGGCACCTTCCCTGGAGCTGTCTGCTCATTTTGTCGCAGGAAAGGGGTGATTGATTGTAGAGATCAGGTAAAAAAAAAACAAAAACACGCTTTCTAGGCTCCAAGCCCCACACTGGGTAAAGGGGAGAAGAGACAGCAGCATCCCTCTGAGCCGTGTCCTGCAGGCTGGGCTTTTACAGCCCAGTGAGAGCTGGGGGTGCTTGGCATCTCAAACTCTAGTGCTTAGTGCTCAGTACCCCAGTTCAGGATTGGTTCCCCAGTGTGCTAGGTGCTGAAGGAGGCGATTACAGTTGTAGGATGATGATTTTTTAAGGATGTTCTGTAGCTATCTGCTTCGGCACTGACTTTCCAGGTGCAGCTGCCCCTCCAATGCAGGGGAGTTTATTCCTTCTACTCATGGCAGTCGGGAGTGGGGGGGCTTCCTGAGCTCTGAACTGCATTGGAGCAGACCTATGGTGATATGTATTAAATAGGGACAGTCACCCACTGTGTGAACAACTAGGGGTATGGCTTAGAACTGGTTCCTTTTTGTAACCTGAGTTGACATTGACTGTAGACTAGTCGAAGGTAAGCAAAGGGCATAGTTCAGCTAAACTGCATAAATCTTAATCTTTCTCCAGACTCCTTGCTAGTGGGGATCGGGCCCTGATTTCTCTCCTCAGTCATAATCCAGGAGTCCTAGGTACAGTAGCCTGAGCAAAGAGAGAGAGTCCAAAAAAGTTTTCAGTCTGAGTTGTGGCTGACCCATGTGTCCTCGTTACTGGGGGTGCAGCCTGGCCGTAATCCACTTCTCTGTCTCATGTGCAGGGTTTGCACGTGCCACGCCATCTCATGTACCCGCACGTGAGCATGCATGCACCCTGCGGGTTTACGCACCAGGCAGATGGCTAATCTGTCAGCAGACTTCTGATGGGCTTTGCATTAGATCACACACACATAATCCCTTTGATTTGTTTGAGTTAGCCTGTGGGGCGGAATGGCTGCTGAGACACCAAAAGTACTGACTTCTCTGGAAACCAAAGTACTGAACTCTCCTTTTCTATGGCCGCTTCCCAGCAGGTCTGAGCAGCCCTGGGCACCAGGGCTCTTGTCCCAAGCCGCCAATGGGAGCCTTTCCAGCTAGGAAACAGTGTCCAGTTCATTCTTCCTTCCCTGTCCTCGCTGTCCCTCTGCTTCACCTCTGTCATCCCTGCCCCTCTGGTGTGCAGGGAGTAGGGGGAGCATTGCTGGTCAGTCCCCTTTGCTGGGTCTCTTCCTGTCTCACCCACCTGCACCGGTAACAGGTTCTGCCCTTGGATGAATCAGGAGCCAGAACAGATTCCAACTCGCCCTCCGGTGGCTGTTTGCTGCCTGTGATAAATTAGACGCGTCTTGGGAAAGCTGATGGCTGTGCTAGCTGGATGCACCGAAAGCGTCTGGAGTGCCATTGGCTCAAGCTGGATATTTGTCTTTAACTTGGCGCCTCTAGCGGTAAAGCAAAAGCAACTGACGAGACAAAGCCCAGGTCACAGGGGAGCAGCATATTGCTGTTTCACCTCGCCAGGATTTAAACGAAGGACAGCACGTGTCAAAATAGTTGAATGAGTCCATGACGGGGTTTACCTAGTCCCAGCCCTCCGTGTACAGGCTAGCAGACAAAGCCTTTGAGTAGAAAGAGAGGCACCAGGAGGGCAGTGACTTGCCCAAGGTCATCCAGCAAGTCAGTGGCAGACAGGGAATAGAACCCAGTTCTCCTAATTCCCATGATGCCCTAATCACTGGACCATGTTTTTACTCCTGTAACTGAACTAAGTTTGAGTGGGACTCACTGTAACTCCCATCTTTATCTCCCTCAGGTTGGCCCTGCTGGATCCCAGTTTGGCTTGCTGGCCTGCCTCTTCGTGGAGCTCTTTCAAAGCTGGCAGATCCTAGAGAAGCCCTGGAAGGCTTTTCTAAACCTCTTTGGGATCGTCCTCTTTCTGTTTCTGTGCGGCCTCCTGCCTTGGATTGACAATATCGCCCACATCTTCGGCTTTCTCAGCGGCCTCCTGCTGTCCTTCGCCTTCCTCCCCTACATCACCTTTGGCACCGGGGACAAGTACCGCAAGCGGGCCATGATCATTGTCTCCCTGCTGGTCTTTGTGGGTCTCTTTGCCTCCCTGGTGATCTGGCTCTACGTCTACCCCATCAACTGGCACTGGATCGAGTATCTCACCTGCCTGCCCTTCACCAGCAAGTTCTGCGAGAAGTATGACCTGGACCAGGTTTTGCACTGATCCCACAGCCTGGAGACAGGGCAGGATGGGGCAGAGGTTTTAACATGGAAAGTTGGCACCAGCTGGATTTTCTCAGTGACTGGGAAAGTGGCTTCAAATCAGGGTGCAGCGGAGAGGGGCGGACATTGCCGTTAAGTGCCCCCAATCCTCTTCTCTGCTGTCTAAAGCCATGCAGGATGTTCACTCAGGGCTAGGCCTGCCTCAGAGCCCCAGTCTGTCCCTTAGCGCTGGTGCAGGGCACTGGGCAGGTGCTGTTATTTTGGGGACACGGGGGGGAACTGCCCTGGTTGATCACTGCTGGATGTGGGAAGGAGTGGAGCTGAACTGACCTGGTTTGCATTTGGTTCAGCCAACGTGGGACAGATCTGTCACCCCACATTGAAAAGCCATAATCCCCAGGTCCAGCTGCCGGCATGGGAGCCCAGCAGCCACTTCACATGGGAAAGACTCAAACCAAATTGGGAATGTGGGAGACTTTGGTGCTTTTGTTCCATGCTGGGGAAAGGCCTCCAGTGGTGGGCCGTGCTCTGAGGTGATGACCCTGTGCAGGGACTTGTGTTGCCAAACAGCCCTCACCAGTGCCTCTCCCTCTCGCCCTCAGTGAATCCTTCCATGGTGAAACTGCTGGATCCTTCCTTATGGGACTGAAGCCCCAAGAATGAGGCATTTCAGGGCTTGCCTTGAAAGCACCCAAAAGACACCTGTTGAACTCTGTCAGCAAAATCTGCCTCTTTTCCCCACCTGCTGCATCTCTTTCAATGGTCTCCCTTTCCTGACCTGCACTGTACAGCCCTTCCTTCCTTGTGCCTAATGGCATGAGATGGGGCTTCCCATCCTGTAGCCCCATCCCATCTGAGTGCCTTGCGGGTACTGTGAATTGTACTGTGAAAACGAACCCCTTTTGCAGGGGGCACTTTTTATATGCCAATATTTCTTACCTCCATAAAGCTCTAGAGGAAAACACCAGTGATCAGCGATAGTGCCTGAACCAAATGCTCACTGGTAAGAGTCCTCGAGTGATCTTTGGGAATACTAGTCGTTCTAGCGGCTCCATTCAGTGAATGCTGGTGCCTGGCTCAGAGGAAATTGATCGGTTTTAATGACACTGCTCAGGCTGATGCAGAGTCTGATCTCCAGTGTGGTGCATAAGGGCTAATTCTGCCCACTTAAGTTGAGCAGTGCTTTGCTGTGAAAACCGCTCTGTTTGCGTATTTAAGGTACCACTTCAGCCCAAGGAGGGGTGGTGGAATTGGGCCATCAGCAACACTTATTTTTTCAGTCCCAACCTTCATCATCAAAGTATCCCAAACTTTGTTTGCTCTTTAAAGTAGTGAAGGCCCCTTTTTAAAACCATTGGCGCTTGGGGATTACATGCAAGGAATAGGATTTTTGAGGCTGGAGTTTTCCTTGTGTAAGCACAGAGACGCAGACTTGCCTCCATCTGGCTTGCTACCGGAATCCGTGTGTTCCTCGCCAGGAAACTGTTGTAAAGATGAACTAACAGAGTAACATGCTGCTGACAGTTCTGGGTCAGTGTGCATGCGTTTGCTGAGGAAGGCACAAGAAGGGGGGGGGGGCATGGGTTAGTTAGCAACTCTTACAGCCCCACCTTGCTTCAGACCCTTGGGGTTTCTAAATTCTCCTCTCACGATATGACTGTCAGAAGGTGATTCTCCACATTTGGCACAGTATTACCTCTTCTTTTTTTTTTTTTAACCCATAAGGGGGGGGCGGGTAGATTTTGCGTGAAAGAGGAACTGCTGACTATCCCTTCAGTGTCCAAATCGTGATCTTGGAGAATGGACCAAAAAGTGCACAGAGAAATACCAAATCTTAGTTTATTCCTTATCTTCTAGTGCCCAAGGACAATAACTATCCAGTTAGTAAAAGCATGCCAGATACTATCCTATATGGTTCCTGTATATTAACTTGGCCATTCGACTCTTTAAGTTAACAAGTAATCCAACGTTTAATTATCTTGTAACTAGGAGACTGGATCTCATGATAGAGAGAAATAACAATTAAGCTCTTAAGCATGGTATTTGGACCAGGTAGAGCTGGGCTTTTGAAATTACACTGCTGCGTTACTGGCTGAGATCTTGTTTTAAAGAAGCAAATATAAGTTCTTTTTAAGTCCTCAGTAAATTAAAATGATTCCATCCATGAACCGAAGTGGAAAGTGCCTCCTTTAACACCGATTTTTGAAGCTTTAAGAGCATGTTAATAATGGGAAGACAGAGGCATTCTCCTTGGGGTCCCTCGTTCTGAGACAGCCTGCGACGGACCGTGTTTACCTTCTGGCGGCTGTTCAGTATGTTGTGTGCCATGCGCTGAGGCGAAGGCTTGAATAATGGATGGAGACCAAACTGCTATCTCCTGCACAGATGTGGGCTGGGGTTGGGTCAACAATAAAGGAGGAAGCTTGCCCTACTGCTGCCTATGCTGTACTTCCTCTCTGGCTAGGCAGGGATGTCAGTTAAAGATTGAATAATGAATGCCTGGCATTGCTCTCCTGAGCCCGGTGGCGCAGTCTGAGCCATGGCAGCATACGGTGTCAGTACATATTGCTCTAAGCACCCTAATGGCCTGTCTGGCTTATGATCAGCTGTCTCTGAAGCAGGGAGATGGGCCCCTTCAGCTCATACATTTCACACCGATTAAACAGCTTCTCCCATCGCACTTGTGCATCTGGAAACTTCTCCCTGGGTTAGCAAAGATGAACTGTGCTGGTGCTGGGCCGCATGGTGTCCCAGTGCACTTGGGCTGGGTGGTTGGCTACATACAGGGTGTGCTTCGTTACTGCCTCCAGTCCCACTCTGACCGCCCTCCCCCTGCCCTTCCATGCTAGTTTATCCAAAAACTGGAGCGCTACCCTGTCATCACTGATGCTTTTCAGTACTGTTTCCTTTAATAAATGTGTCTGTATTTAATGAGAAGCGCACGAAGCCCATTTTCCAGGCTCAGCTGCTGCCACTGGATGGATGACACTAGGTGGGGGTAGTGACACTTGTTTTGTGACCAGTTGGGGGAGGGAGGGTGAAATAAACAGAGCCATGGTTGACTCTAAAGCCGAAGCATAAATTAAATGATGGTGAAATACAAATTGTCTAAACTCTTCTTAATTAGCCTGGCTGTTGTCTTAATCTGTGGCCCCTGAAGGGTCTTGGGTCAGTTACCCTGTAGCAGAACCCACCAGTGCTTCCTTGGCTCTTCTCCCAAATGCAGTCAATCTCCTAGGCAGGTGCCCTCATACCACTGCCCAGTAAAGAGAGAACAGTGTGGTCTCATTACGACTTCATCTCTTTCGTAAATGTATTACCATGCACTGCATAATTCGTATCAATGGCACTTAGCATCTGAGCACCTCTCATGCTAACGTGCCTGGGAGGTAGGGCCATGGGATTATCCCCATTTCACAGTTGGGGGAGCTGAGGCTCAGAGTCAGTTGCACAAGGACTCTCAGGAAATCTGTGGTGGTGCAAGGAACTCAACCCAAGTGTTCAAAGATCATAGACTAGTGCTCTAACCACTGGACTATCCTTCCTCTCTAGTAGTGTGCTACACCAGCCTTCCATGCACTTTATATATGGCTAATGCTGTATCCCAACTCAAAGCTCGCTGGAGTCTCTTCATTGGTGCTAGATCAGATGCTATTTAATGGCACTTGGCACTTTCAAATGCCTATATCGTTTATTTCTCTAGTTGTGGGTTTCCTTACTGACTTGGTCATCTGCAATGGCCTCTTACAGCAGATTCAACAAGGTTTTGCTCTCTGTGAAACTTAGGAAGCTACTGAATCCTGGCGCTTGGAGACAATCAAGGGCATTCCAGTGACAAAACCCATGAGACTTCCACGTGGCTTGTGGTGTTCCTGGACTCCATTCGGTGGCGTTTGCAGTCCCCGAACTCAAGTCTGCCTCGTGTGGTGATAAATGGAGCTGCACTGCCCATCACGCTGGCTAGTGCCAACTGCCTTTTCCTGCTGCTGCCATCTCCCCTTTCTCACATGAAGGCTTTAAATGCTGCCTGCTTTGACTGCCACTACAATAGCAGTCCCTCGTGCTTCTGCAGCAGCCTTCACTGGAACAGTCCTCTCCTACAGTGGAAGCTGTCCCCTGTAGTATTGGGACCAAGCAGGTGGCCAATTTTTGTACTGCTCAGAGCCAGGCCTATGTCCTGTCTGCATTCCATGCTGGTGCAAGTTCACATGCAGGCTCTGTGTTTGCTTCTTGGCCAAAGGCCCTCTTATGGGATTTTAAACAAGTGCCCGCATGTGGTAACAGACTGAGCAGCAGGAGCGGAGCTGCCCCTTTACGCAGGCCTAGTCGACGCTAGGAAAGGTTTGCCCATGTAGCTATACCAACCAATTCTCCCAGTGTCCTCACTGCTTATACTGGCAACAAATGCTTTTGCCCGTATAGCTTACACCAGGTCTCCAGACAACATATCCTGGCAAAAGGACTCCTCCATCCACGCTAGGGCTTTGGCTGGTCTAGAAGGTTCACAAAAGCAACACCCCTACCCGACATTACGATAATGGCGACATTTTCTAGCATAGACCTGGGCGCAGTTTCCCTGCGAAGGACAGAGGGTGGGTTAACTCCAGACAGTGAGCAGAGTCCAGTGGGAGGGGCTGCAGCCGTGGAGCAGGAGTGGGGTGGATGGAAATCCTGTCCTTCCTGCTTTAAACTCAAACTGCCCCGATGGTGAGAATACACCAGACAGGCCTGGCCCTGGTGTGGGAGAGCCAGGTATGCTGGGAGTCCCATGTACAGCCTGCTGTATTTGTGGTGTGCTGACAGCAGCCAGGTCCTATTAGAGCGCTCTGATCTGTCCTTCCTTACGAGAGACGTTCCCGAAAGGTAGGACTGCATTTCCTCCATCCTGCACAAAACCACTCTCCCCTCCCTTCTGCTGTAACTTCCGAAGATGCTTTTTGGGAAAGGATTGATTTAAAAATTTGTTCTGAATGAAATCAAACTCCAGGCAGGCGAAACTGACCTTGATTTTCTTGCAAGGGGAGGCTAGGAAGGTGAGACAGGCTGGATATCTTTGGAAAGCAGATAGGGCTTCTGAAGATCAATGGAAAGGAAAGGCGGCACAATTCTCTTGTCAGTGACCACCTCCCAGGCTGCTTCAGAGGCCCAGACAGAAGGGAAGGCAGCAGACTTGAGAGTGAAGGACTGTCATCCTGCAGTATCCCTGCAGCAATCATCTTTCAGATTGGGGGTGGGGGTTACCTCCGTCCCTTTCGCACTCAATCTTTGCATCAAATGTTCCTTTGTGCAGCAGGCTGGATACTTCCAACCTTCCTGTAGCTTTTAGACTTAGCTAAAACAGCCAGGGAAAGATGCTTTGTGGCCCACTGGCTTTTTGATGTAACTTCTCAAGTGTGCAAACCAAACTCTGCGCCCTTCCCTTTGTTTACCGCTGTTACAGGCTGTTGAATTGTGTTCCAGGAAAAAACACGCCCATCAGAACCCAATTAGAAAACACAACAAATAAATCCTTTATTTGCTGATGAACAAAAGAACTGACAAACAGCACAGGGTGTTCCCAGGGGCTTTCAGATTTCCAATGAACTAGGATGGCATGAGCTAGGAGCTCAGGTCTGTACACAGCACTCACTGGTCCATGCGGTGAGTGAGGGAGAGTGGGCTGATATACCCTCTTGTTCTTAAGGAATAAACTAAATGGGGGTGCCACTTTTTTGGATTTTGGAAAACTTTTTGTGTGAGTATCAGATCAATCTGATAGGAATGACTTTTAATCTGTGATTCTCTGGAACCATTATAGCCGTGCTTTGGATTTCACTAGATGAGGACCACAAATATCTTATAAGGATCTGTTGAAAAAGCTACCCCTTAATGACCATTTGGGAGTGGATGGAAATGTCTATCCAGTGGTGTAGCCTCCTTGCTGGGCCCCTTAGAGAGCATTCAGTCCCATGTTATATTTTGCTCTCCCTCAGGCCTTGAGCGTGCTGTGGTTTGGGGACAGTATCTCCTATATTGGGTTGGAAGTTGGTGCCCTAGTCTGTTGGAGCAGGGGTAGCCATCACTGAGCCTACATTATTATGGGATTTCTCACACTTCCGTTGGTTGTCAACCTATACCAGCAGGAGGGCGAGGGAGGAAGGGGGAGACTTGCTGGAGCCTAGCGTAGCTGAATGTCTCTCACATATGTACAGAACACGCAAGCACGGATTCCACTGAATGCATCACAGCAGAACATGGCAGCGAACAACTAGCATGAGAAGGCACAGATGGCTCTTCCCACCAGAGACCACCAGAGGTGTCTGCCTCATGTTATTGGCCTTGGAGCATTTGACAAAAAACAAAAACAGGGAATCGATGAACTGATCCATGCGGTGCTGCTTCTCAAGCAATGTTTTTTTCCCCCCTCCCTAACTGCATAACATGCTCTCAGAGCTTTATTACCCCCACTGCTGCTTTTAAGCCAGGAGCTAAAGGGGAGGCCTCGGGCTAGCCAGAACTGACGTACCCCTGTCCTGGGGAGGTCAAACTCAACCGCTGTAGCCTTACGGAGCCTGCCTGTTGAGCCCTGGCCTGGAGAAGAGGCAGGGGTGCTTACTGTGGTTCTGCTGCCTTTCGCTCTGGGTCTGTAAGCTCGATGGCAGGGTCAGCGCTAGGACCAGTTGAGAGGCAAGTGGGCCGTGCCTGGAGCTACTAGTTTAAAGGCAGCCAGCTGGAACACCAGGCAGGCACAAAAGTCTGCAGTGAGTGTGGCTGCTGTTCATAAGCTGTCTCCCTGTACGCGGGGGCCCGCCCTAACAGTGCCTGAGAAGCGTGGAGGCTGGGGGAAGGCACCATCTCAGCAGCCGCTGTTTCTGCGCATGAAGGCGTGGCCGCACACGGGGTACTGCATCTCGACGAACGCCAGCGAGCCCACGGTGACCTCGCAGGGGCCCTGCACCTTGAAGCCGCACTTCCGGTAGAAGGGGACGAGGAAGTCCTCGCACATGAGCACGGCCCGCCGCACGTAGGGCAGGCAGCGGAGGTACTGCAGGTAGCGCCACATCAGGATGGAGCCCTTGCCCTGCTGGCGGAAGGTGCGGTGCACGGCCAGCGCGTGGATGTGCACGGTGGTGCCACCGGGCCTGTGCAGGGTCAGCGCGTCCTGCCGGGGGAGGGGAGACAGGAAAGCGTGTCAGCTGGCGGTTCGCTCCCGGCCGCAGGGCCCTCTAATTCTGTATCCAGAGCATTCGTTTGAGTAGGCTGCCGATGCAAAGGGCCAGATCCTCGGCTGGTGTGAATGAGCAGCTTCCATGGGAATAGGCAGACGCACACCAGCTGCGGCTCTCACCTGATCTATTGGAGGTGTTGTCCAAGTACAAAGTGCTTTGCAGACAGTACCCAAAGGCTCATGATACCCCTGCACCCTGAATAGGTGAAGTCATCCCCATTTCAGAGGGGGAAACTGAGGCACAGAACAGTTAGGACCTGATTGTTCAGAGGTGTTGAGCTCCTAGTCCCCACCTCCCCAATCTCCAAATGACTATAATTGGAGCTGTGGCTTCTGAGCCCTTCCTGAAAATCAGGTCCTACCTGACTTGCCCAGGGTGCCAGAGAGGCAGTGACGGAGCCAGGCACACACCCCCAGAGTCCAGCCTCCTAGTTTCCTGCTCTAACTGATTATAGGGTGCTCCTTCCCCTGCAAAGGCTTACAGGGCCCTTTTCAGTTTTAATTACTTATCATTGCGAAGAGTGGGGTTTTTTTTAATATTAAACACGTGTTAATACCAAAGCAATAACTCAGTTTTTACTTATTTTTATCCTGTAGCAATTAATACTGCAAGAGATCTCTCTCCAGGAGTGAACTCGCTCTAGGTTGCTTGTAGAAATGGATTAGTTTGTAAAGTGCTTTGCAGAAGAGAGAGGCTGAATCAGCAGGAAGTATATCTGTCCCTAGGAGAACAGCCCTGTTTGTATTGCAGTTAATCATTTGATGGAAGTAACAATATGTTGAGTTTTGGGCTTTCAAGAGAAGCCACACTGTGAATGTGAATGACAGGTGCCAATGGGGAATTTTTTACTTCTCCGTTTCTAGTCCGTAAGGTGGCACTTAGCCAAAGCCCTGTTGCCCCAAGAGTTGTGGATGTCTCTGAAATGGAAAAGCCCTTTTGGCAGATAGGGCTGAACCGTGGCTGCAAAGCTGGAGGGGACTAAAGAATGGAGCCTCCCCTGCCCCTTTGAAATACATATAAAATGGGTGTCTTACAAACTGAACTAATTAGGTGCCTTGAGCAGCTCCCGCTCTCCTTCCCTGCACTTGGGGGCTCAGCTCAGCACCCGGGTCATATGCTCCCTTGGAGTAATCTCCAATAACTACAGTGATGCCTATGCACGTTGGACTCCAGCCTCTTGTCTCAAAGCTCCGACATCGTTCTCTCCATCCCGAGCATGGAAAGGAAACGGAGACAAGATGCAGTAACAGGAGCTGGTTCTTACCTGGCTGAGTTTTTCCTGGTCCCAAAGGGACCCTATAATGAAAGCCACCAGCCGGCCTTCTTCAAACCAGCCAAGTGACAGCTCAGGGCACAGGTTCAGAAAGTGGCGGATCTCATCCAGGTGAAGGGGGCAGTCGCCCGAAACAGAAATAAATGCTAGAGAAGAATAAAAACAAAGCAATGTCAAGAGGGAACAGCCTCTCGGAGCTACACTGCACCCTAGGCTGCGAGAACCTCAGGCTAATTGATGATGGGCTGGGAATTGGAGTTTAACAAACATGAGGGGTTTGAACCAGGTACTCGCAGACTCTGGGGAAGTTTGAATCCAGATCTGAATTTTGTGGCTCGAGTCAATCTCTCCTTCCAGGAGGAGAAGCCAGAAAGGACTGGGATTCCCCTTCTCACCCATACATGTTCTGTAAGTTACTGCCTTTTAGGAGTTGGGCACTTCACACATGAGGAAGCAAAGCCCTCGGCTCTCCCAAGCAGGAGATCTGTTCTAGGAACCTGTGCCTGCTCTGTTCTCTGATCAGGACATCTCTGATCCTGGCCACTGCTTTAAGGCTCACTTGTTCGCTGTGCTCTCCCTGTGGGTTTTCTGGGTCATTCTTACAGCATTTAGCGCTCCATTTAAAACCAGTCACAGATATTTATATAGTTTCAAAGTTCCTGCTAACTGATTTGGAAAACACTGGTCTTGAAATTTTAAGATTCTCTCTCCAGCTTGGGAAATGATCAATAAAAGGGAAAGCTGGTTAGCAGTAAAAGTAGTCTGGGTGGAATCTACAAAGGGACTTAGACGTTGCAACACTGAACCTCCCAGCACCTAACTTTTAGGCGCCTCGAAAAATCACAGGCACACCCGGCAATCCACACAGTCGAGTTAAGCACCGAGATTCCCGAGATAATGAACAGGGAGAGACAGGCTCCCTAGACTGGGATCCACAAAGCCAGCATGCTCCGAGCGGAGCTGCCTAAGGTAGTCAACGGGTGATTCTGATGAAAGGAGTGTGCGCTAAGCCCCTCTCCTCTAGGACACAGGTGCTCTGCAGCCCCGAGGTAGGTGCCTATCTCTGCTGGCGATCCCTGAACAGCAACAGGGCACCTGCCTTGCCCTATACCAAACAGCTGGAGGTCTCCCACCTCTCGGAGCGCTCTAACCACTGCGCTACAGAATCTCTCTCTCTCTCTCTCTCTCTCTGGCCCAAGACTGAGAGAATGATTCTGCAGTCCAGTTATACAGTGGGCAGCACCATCATCTCCTCCAGCTGGATTTTGAATGGGACCAGATCTGGGAGGCAACCTCTGAGCATGCCTGCCGGATTGGGCACCGAATGCCTGTCTTCCCCTGGTTCATGAATTGCTCTGGGGCTTAGGTGGGACATGCCTGGAGGAAGGCAGCAGTGCACATGCTTAGAGGCAGAGACACAGGTGCCTAGGGAACTTCTGCTCTGAAAACATAGGCCCTGAGTGAATTTAGGGAGTTTTGTGCCTCACAGTGGAGCCAAAACTGGGATTTAGGTGCCTAAGTCTTAAGTTTAGGCACCTCAGTATCTGGATCTGAGCCTTTGTGTTTAGGGTTTGAGAACATGGGAAGTGTATATTGCCTTCCGGTAAGAACTGTGGTAGTTGTCTCCCTCTGCTCTGGGCTCCTCCCAGCTTTCATTTCCAGCCTGGTTTTCCATTGCCCTGTATCTTGTGCAGTCATTTACACCTGTGTACAAGAGATCAGAATGGAAGTATTTACATCCACTTTGCTCTCCCTTTGCGCAGGTGTAAATGACATGATGGAAAATCTGATCTTGTTGTCACTAGTGGAAATCCCTCCCTTTTTTTACAGCAGGTGGCAAGTTCTCATTGGTTCTCATACAGGCTTATGCTAGGCTGTCTCTTGCCATTGGCCATTGCGACTGTTGCATGGAAATTACTCCCCTTTCTCTAGCAGGTTTGCTGGCATTTCCTTCAAAATTTATCACAAGAGGGAACAAAGGGCCAGACTCAGCCCAGACCCAAGTGGTGATGCGGTTCATGGTTTGCAGGTCTTGCAGACCCAGAGAAATCTCATGAGAAAAACTAGGCTAGATACAAATGCTCTTGGCTCCAATGAGCACTTGATCTGTAACTCTCAGGTTTGAAGACTGAAAAATTGATTCTGACTAATCTGTTTGAATCCCAGCTGGCTTCAGTGTTCAGTGTCTGAAGCACACAGCAAGAGGGAACACCCCACCTGGAGGAAAAGGGTTATTTGTTCCCAGTGGAATCTGGCCCTTCTGATCCTGCTATGGTGAAAAGCCCTTCCTAGGGCAGGATAAGAGGGCCAAGTGCTTTCTAATGTACCCCAAGGTGTAGGCTGCATTCCTGGCTGCAGGGAGCCTCTCTGGAGAGAAGTGCTGGTATGTGAATAAATGTGACTTCAGCGTGGCTCTGTGGAGTCTAGGCATTTTGCTGTTGACTCCAATGGGACCAGGAACAGGCCCTTAAATGGGTTCCACCCTATAACACCAGGCTTCCAGCACACTTAAACCTGCCTCCACCTCTGATTCTCCCTATCCTTGTAGGAAGAGTGGGGAGTGCTGACTGGCTTTATCGGGGGAAGGTGAGTTTTCAAATACCCTCACAAAACAGATTGACTGGGGCTTGTAACAGATCTGACCCTGAAGAAGCTGGGTGAGAGGTAAATGGGTCGCTCATTCTCTCTTTCCATTTGTCTCTCCATTGCTACTTGGTTAGCTCTGTAAAGCACTTTGGGCCCCAGCTTCCAAGACAGATGCCATAACAACTCTCAGCTGTTCCTGCCTAGGGTGCTCAGCCCTGGTCCCCTGCAGAAAGAGGGACATTTCCACTTGCATGCCAGCGCCGGGTGCATTTCTGAATTAAGGGCTGGGGCAGTACTGTAGTTTCTTTGATTGAGCAGGACTGAGGCAGATGGCTAGTGGGGAAGGAGGGCTCTTACCTTCTCTCTCAATCTCAAACACGCTGATTGCATCCTCGGGCGTGAGGCTCCGGAACTCGCTGGCGGGAAGCGTGTGGCGGCGTTGGCGTCCGGGCGAGCTCCGCGGAGGCCTCAGGTGAATGGGCTTCAGGAAAGGCAAGGCGCTGATCACGGACATCCTCCTCCTTTATTGCTGGCGTCCTCCGTAAACTTTTCCTCCGTTTGGCCACCGGTGTCGTCAGCGAGTCGCTATTTCAGTAAATCGTCTCCAGCGGGATCAGCCAACCGGCCAAAAATACCTGCCAAGCACATACTGGATTAGGCAACCTCTCTCCCTTGCTATATATGCATGCCGTGCCCTGCGTGAGCCTGCACAACCACCCAGCCTCTCAGTGCAAACGCGCTCAGGTTCTCGGAGGTAATCGCCGCCCCAATGCAAATGCGGGGCCTCTGCTCAGGGCAACGGGGCTCTGGCATGGGACAGGTCACACAAACCAACCCCACCTGCCAGGCAGCTGAAGCGGAGGAACAAAAGCCAGCCACCTGGCGGCTGAGGCTCTGAGCACTAATGACAGAGCGGAGGGACGAGAAATGGCTTTTAGAGCCTGCGGCCCAGCCAGCAGGGTTAAGTGGTGAGACGGGGGGGTTAATGTGCTGACATGAGTGGGAGGGGGCGGGAGGGAGGGAAGGTGGCTCTAAGGTCACCAAAAAGCTGGATCTGGTGACTCAACAAAGTGCTTTTAGGGCCTGATCCTGTCTGGCGCTGAGTCTCTCCTGCTGGGTGTTGAGCACCCGCAGCTCACTCTGGTTTGCATTGGAGTTCAACACCTCGCAGGAGACCCTGAGCAGCTTGCAGGATCGGGCCCTTAATGCTGTCAAGCCAATCTTCTGCTTTCTGGGAAGCTCTTATGGTAATCGTGTAATTAACGAGCTGGGCGGGGGGGAGGCTCAGAGCCCAGTTGCTTTTTCCCCTTTTGAGAAGAGGAGGAAGTTGGGGTCAAGGTGTGGGGGAGTGGCCTGCAGAGCGACTGAACTGTGGAGGCACTTTGGGAGAGAACTTGAGGGTTTGGAGAGGGTGTCGCTGAAAGAAGGAACCTCCTTCAGCCCATCAGAAAAGCCCCTTAGCAGGACAGAGCTCCTGCAAGCAGCTTTCTCAGCCTCAGCAGCTACTGGCAGAAAAATTGCCTAGCCGGAGTGTCCATGCCTGGATGAGAAGAGCCACCCCCAAGCAACTGCCTCTTCTGGAAGTGTAGGGCTGGCATTGCCTTCTTTCCTCTTGGGCGCACGCATTCTGATCTCTGCCCTCTCCTGGGCAGGGCTGCTGAGTGCCCTTTTGTGGGGCAGGTTTGCCCACCTGCTTCCAGACTGCCCCCAGCCACCTGTGTGCTCCAGTCTGGGTTAGTTAAGGTGGAGGAAATGCATTTCCTATGGTACAAATAAGCGGCAAATGGAGTGAGTATAAAGGCATGGGCCGAGAATACACTGGGAAGGGAACATTATGCACTGGTACAGGCTGTCTTCTGATTCCCCCGGCCTAGAGGTGACTCTGCAATGTGTCCAGCATCTGGCCTGTCCAGTGTCTGTGTTCACAGGCTCCCTGGGTAGATTCGTCAGGAGGACGCAGAGTCCACAAGTGACTCCATTAGTGAGGGCAGTTACGGTGCTGGCATTAGGTCTGTGGCTCTCAGTTGCCAGAGAGAAAAGGCTGATAGGAAGCATCAGCTGTTGCTCAGACTCTGGGAGAAATGCTGGAATTTATCTGCAGAAGCTGTTTAGCACTGGCTGTAATGCAGTGTCTGCCACTGGGATGCACTGCAGGTTAGCAACAAAAGAAAAATCTCCAGCCAATGGTTCCTGTGGCTTCCTGGACTCTCTCTCTCCAAGCTCCTCAGAGGTTGCTCAGCTTTACAGATCTGTTTATCTATCTACACAGATTTCTTTCTCTAGAGATTACTGAGGTTCTCTGGTGTATACACAGTAGACAATCTGGGCCAAATTCAGGGATGAGCCTAAGCTGTTGTGGTGTACATCTATTTCTAGCCCTTTCAGCAGATAAATTACACCATCGTAGACTCTGCTGTGCTTTCTCTGGCTGTCTCTATGCTCAGAAAAAACAGTGGCTTACAACCAGAGAGCTAACACACACTAGCTAAGATGTTGCAACACCCTAATGTAGGGAGGACAAGTTGTAGTATTTTGAGGTAGCTGGTTGAGGTGAACCTTAGACACATCTTTACTCCTCATCTTTGTTTCCCTGGCTGAGAGTCTAATTTAGATACCAAGGGGTGGAAAGAGAGGAGTGCAGCAGGAAATGCATCTCACTGGAAGGTATATATGGAGGTAGGGGAGGCCATGTAGATATCCTAGATATCGGGCCTGGACTAGTAAATTCCTAGGATGGCTTTACAAGGCAGCTTCAGTGAGAGCAAATGCTATGTGTCTGAGCGAGCTATGCAAGGAATAGTAGAGCAGTGAGTGCCCAGCTGGTGGGAGATTAGAAAAGCACAGCACCCCTGGCCGTAGCACCCCAGGTGATGGTGTGGCAGAAACTGCCAGCAGTGTGCTGCTCCACTCAGAGAGGGGAGATTTTGAAAATATGTTTAAGTGATTTTTGTTTCCTTCAGGAGATAAGGCCCTAAACTCAGTCCCTCCAAACTCTGAGGAAGTTGGGAGCTGGCTGCAGACACAGATCTGAACTTTGACACTGGCCCCCAACCCTTTTTATGGGCTTGTAATGTCTCTCCTAGAGGAGACAGGCTTGACTGTGGTGGATACAAAGGGAATTATTTGTTGAGGCTGCTGAACTCAGACCTTGTGATTATCTCTAACTCCCAAGTAACTAAACACAGCCAGTTCTGCCTGACTTATCAGGCAGGTCTACCCTATATGGCCCAACCAAATCCCTAGCTTGGAATAGCCCCAAACTTGGGGGTGGGGGGAGAGAGAGAGATCAAACCAAATCAGTAAACTTATTTGTCAGATGGTACACTAGACACAAGTGTGCAGAAAGTTTGTGCAAATATCTGATAAATCATTTCTCCCGCAGGCAGAGATCATAGGTAACATTTCCCGAGAGCTGACCCTGTGTAATGCACTTTTATGCATTCTGAATCATTTGCCAGCTGAATATTATAACAGATTGCTACAACCCCAGTGATAAATATGAGACCAGGACACGAACTATTATTGTTCAACAGGTGCTGGCCTCCCCTTTCACTTATAAGCTGGCAACAAGCTAATAGGATTTGCAGAAATAACAAAACAAACAAGCGCTGCCAGCAGCCACAGTGCATCAGAACTAGGACTGCATGGTATTATTAGCCCAGCGCTGCTATTTTCTCTAGTTATGGTGAATTGCTATATTTGCTATGTGGGGCCTGAGGGGTCTGTGGTGGTTTTATGCAATCCCTCCACAAATGTGCCAGCATCTGAGCTCTGGAAGCAAACTATGACGACGTGACATTCGTGCGTGTGCAGTGAGTGTGCTTTGCAGAGCGAAAGGGGAACTGGAGGAAAGAGATTAGGACATTAACTCTTAGATCCCGGAGGTCTTTTTAGACCTGACAGGAGACTGCTGGGTGGAAGCCTACAGTGATACCCCAACCACTCTGACTGCTGTGGACAAAGGGTGAAATCCAGGCTCTACAGAAATCAATGGCAAAACTCCCATTTTTTTGGGAGGGGCCAGAATTCCACCCTCTGAATTTAATGTAAGAGAACTGCAAAAATGTTCATGTGCCACTGTCCTTTTTCTAATAGAACAATTTAACCCTTGACTCAGGCAATGTCTCTTCTCCAAGCACCTCAGATCTTTTAACTGTGCTCGTTTAAGCCAGGTGCCATCAGGTTTTATTTTAAAAATTCTTTAAAAAATCACTTTATTCCAATATTCACCTGATTCGCATTTTATTTATTTATTGTCCTGATCAGCTATATTGGTGAGAGTTATTTTCTGTGAATAACTGCAGCTAGTTATTTAATGCCTCTGTTGTGCATGTCTTTAGGAGTTATTTCTATTCATTAAGATCTGAGTGTAATAAGGACTGTGAGCCTCTTTGTGCTAATTTAATTCACTCCAAAGATAATTTTACAAATGGATATTTCATGTTCCTTTGATGGATGGATCATAGACTAAGGGTGAAATATAGCAATGGCCAAACTACTAGGAGAGTAGTAATGTCTATGGTTTTAATAGTAGTTGTAAGATTTACTATTGAATCTTATGGAGTCAATCGTACTGCTGATTGGATTAACCATTTATGGTGATTAATGGTCCACTCAGATATACCCCAGAGGATGCAATAAGAGTTCCTTTAGACTGAAATATGCACACCAATGGCTTCATCCTGTGAGGTGCTGAGCTCCTGTAGCAGGTTCTCAGCGCAACCCCAGATCAAGCCCTAGAAAAATATTTAAGTAAATATATAAGGCTAGATTCTCATCCCCTTACTCACAGTGAGTAACACCTTATTCCGTGAGCAGTCCCATTGACATCAATGGGATTTTTTGAAGAACAGGGAACTATTTAACGTGATTAAGGGTTTCAAAATATGGCCCAACAAATCATTAATATTGTATTGGGCCAATTTTGCAGCAGTCATAGGGACTATGGATGTGGGAATTCACTCCCTGTTAATCTCTCTCAATATCTGTGTCATGCTAAATTAATTTGTCAATTATTGGTTTGATCATGCAAGGAACCACTCCATCAGAAATCTTTCCAGCTGTTCTTTGCCCAATACAGTAGAACCTCAGAGTTACAAACCCTTAAGGAATGAATGTTGTTCGTAACTCTGAAATGTTCGTAATGCCGAAAAAAAGTTCAGGTTGTTCTTTCAAAAGTTTACAACCGAACATTGACTTAATACAGCTTTGAAACTTTACTATGCAGGAGAAAAATGTTGATTTTTAACCATCTTAATTTAAATGAAACAAGAACAGAAGCAGTTTTCTTACTTTGTCAAATCTTTTTTTAACTTTCCCTTTATTTTTTAGTAGTTTGTTTAACACAGTACTGTGTTTGTGGTTTTTAGGGGGTTATTTTGGTCTCTGCGGCTGCCTGATTGTGTACTTCCGGTTCCAAAGAAGGTGTGTGGCTGACCAGTCAGTTGATAACTCTGGTATACATAACTCTGAGGTTCTACTGTACCATATAAAGACAGTATCACTAATGTTAGGATGTCTGAGCTGGAGACCTTTATACACAAGGGGTAGGATTTTTCAAAACCACCTAAGGGATTTGGACACTCAATTTTCAATAGAAATTAATGGGAATTCGGCATCTAAATCTGCCAGGCAGCTTTGGAAAGCCCACCCAAGATCGCTACTGGGGACCATTTAGGGCAAAAGTCAGTGATACTGAGGAAAGGCTGCCCTTTTTTTGTTTTCCCTTTCATTCTCTGGTTTGAAATGACATTTTTTTGTTTTGAAATGTAAGTTAATTGGTGTAAATGGCTTTTGATAATTTCAAAATGTTTTGACCATTTTTAATTTTAAAAGTGAACATTTCCATTTTTTTTAAGGACTTCCAGTTTGCTAACATTTTCACGAGTTTGATTTCTTAAAATTCAGGCTGGGAAAATTTGTCCATCTCAAATTTTCAAGGGATGGGGACACCATTTTCCACCCAGTTCTATCATTATCCCATTTCAACCTTGGGGAAACTGAGGCACACAGCAGTGAAGTGACTTGCCCAAGAACGAACATGTAAATGTTATATCTCTCCCTTACATTCATGTGCTGAAGGAATTTAAATGTTCATATAGTTCATGGAGATGCATGTGCTCATGTGTAAACAGACCAGTATGCTCATAATACACATTGACAGGCAACTCAAACCAAGGTTTACTTTATTGTGTACATCTATTTGGATTGGGATTTGAATGCTCGGACCTTTTAGAAACCTTGAGGGTTTGTTTGCATCACAAACCACAATTTTAGGTCTGAAAATTCTTCCTGCAGTAAAGCCCTGTCTATTCCCAGATCTAAAATGTGGGGTTTTCACTGCAGAGACTCATCACCCTCCGATTTTAAAAGCATGTGGGGGGGGGGAGAAGGAGGGGGGGAGGAGGAATATGGTGGGATCCACATTCTACTCAATGCCTATGCAAGCAAATTTTAATTTAGCAAAGCTCCATGCTCTAGAAGGCAATGCACCAAGTGCAATTATATGGAGAGTAGAATGGCCTCTTTAAAGGCTGCTTTCCACTCTAGAAAATCAGTACCACACATATTACAGTAGAAATGCAGACAATTACCTGTATGCGTGTGTGGAATAAGATTTCTTGTAAGCACTCCAGAAGTTGTTCCTCTGGATGGCGTGGTCTGGTCTTGCAGTCTTCCTGCCAGAGGAGAAAACAGACAGCAGTGAATTTTGACTTGCCTACTGCTTTTATTCTGCTGTGACTTACGAAGCTTTTGCTTATATATTTGTTATTTATAGAACACGTGATGAAATTGTAAGTAGTTTATTAACCCTGATGAGTCACAGAGAAAGGTGAGAGGCTTTAAGGTGACATGCCAGCAAAAGCATCCTCTGAGGCTTTTCTTTCCTGGTGTGATTGTCTGCAGGGGGATAAAGCATTTTAGCTGATTGCTAGATACTCAGTGCTGCTTGCATGTCTCAAGTATCCAGGTAGATAGAGCCAATGACTAGATCCATAGCTAGAAAATATGAAATAATACATCAATATGTAATACAATTAGGGTCTGATCTAGATTCATTTGAAGTCACTTTACAATTATTTAAACAGGCTTTGCACCCTTAAGTGAGCTCAATTCAGCCATGGTGAAAGCGGATGTAACTTTATTTCTTTTTGTGCAGCTGCACCCACTTGCATCACCAACTGGGGCTGCATTTAACCTAGTGTGTTTAAGAAAAGTAGTGTTCTCTGCAGAGCTTTTAGCCATTAGTCCATCACTGTGTTTTGGCTGTAGGCAAATAGAAGTGGAAAAGCTTATCAATCCCCAGCAAAGCAAGAAATAGACTAGTGTGACTTACAAAATGAAATACAGGGAGTCCGAGTTTACTCACTTACGTGAAAAGATAACACTATTGAAGCCATGGCAGTCATGCTGGTGTAAAACCAGCATGAGAGAGATCAGGAAAGTAGAACCGTGAACATGTTATCAGGCTTGGATTGTGAAAAGAGAAGCATCAGGAATTTACTAGCACTTAGGGGCAGGAGGGTTGTTTTCAGACTAAAACTACTTATTAGTCTGCAAGATGCTTTACAAAACACAGAGAGAAACAGCCAGATGTGGCTCTCAACACTGGTGTCAACCTGGAGTAACTCGAATGATGTCAATAGAGTTACAATGATGTAAAATTTGTGGAATCAGACTTAAGGTTTCTGCCCTAAGGAGCTTACAATTTAAGGAGCAAGGCTGTAGTGAGATTTATTGCATGGGTAAAGCCATCAGGATTTTGCCCTCCTAGAAACAATACAAGATATAGAAAATATTCCAGACACAAGGTAGTATAAAGGAAGATACCAGCAAGGAGATCAGCAACAACTTATGGGCCAGATCCTGTTTGGAATTAGTTGATGTAAAAGTGAAGTGACTCCATTAAAGTCAATAGTGTAACACTAATGTAAAACAGGAGTAACAGAGAGCAGAACCTGGCTCCATATGTGCCTAAAGAAAAGCTGGAGGAGGTCAGGATGTGTTTAACTTCCAAGTCTCAACCAAAGTGACCCCCAGCATAAACCGTTTTTCTTCTTTTAGTATTTTTGATAGAATCCAAACAGAAATACAACCGAACCAGTAGAAAAAAAAACTTTCAGCAAATAGCACTAAAAATAACCAACCTACCCCCATTACAACCAAACAGAACAGGGCATGTTGGAATGTGGTTAAAGCTATCCTGCTTTCCATGGTATGGAGACAATTTGTATTTACCAGGGTATTTTGAACCAGTCCCTTTCTCCCTGTCGCTGTCTAGCAGCTGTGGAGGGGTCAAAAACTCTATTAGAATTGGAGCACTGGAAATGTACAGAGATTTACATATTTAGCAGCTCCCACAGCATCTTCAAAGGGCCCAGAGCTGTCATTTTTTGCATCTGTCTGCAACCATCCTTTGTCCATTGCTCTAGCCACTTAGCCAGCTGGCAGTTTTGTTTATAATTTGGGGTTGTGGGGGAGAAAGAGAGAATTACGTCACTTTCATTTTCATCACTTTGGAATTAACTGACCTATAAATTCAGCCTCCAGTCTCCAAGGGGTCTCATCTGCCATAATGATCTATGCAACTTTCTTCCCTTTTCTGTTGTAATGCATTATGATTATGACACCCATGAGGATTTAAGCAGCTTTTAAGAGTCGCAGTGTAACAGTAGCTTCCCGTAACAGGGCAGATCTGCCAGCGAGAGGGGTTCTGATGATGTAACATTTCTACCTTGCATTTCATTGGCCAGCGTGTTATTACTTTATAACCTGCGCAGATATAGAGAGTCTAGTTGGAATGAACCAACTATCCAGCTTTCCTGCTTGTGTAATTGAATTTAGCACCTATTAAAGCTGTGGGCTAAATTCTCTGCTGGTGTAAACTGATGCAGTAGCATTGCTGTCAATGATGTGCCAGTTTATGCCAGTGGGGAATTTGCTCTGATTGTTTTTCTAACTCTCCTCCAGACTTTTAATGACCATTTCTCCAAAACACAGCATGGGGCTGTATCACTTGATTGCTTGTGGAAACTTAGAGACTAACAAATTTATTTGAGCATAAGCTTTTGTGAGCTACAGCTTACTTCATCGGGTGCATCCGATGAAGTGAGCTGTAGCTCACAAAAGCGTATGCTCAAATAAATGTTAGTCTCTAAGGTGCCACGCGTTCTCCTTTTCACAGCTGCTACTCTGAAACTTGATTGCTTGTTACGGCAGTAAATTCACAGCAGCACACCATGTTTGGCGTGCATTCAATGCATTTAAAGATTTCCTAGGATTGCTGCTTAGTAGTTGAAGAGGCTGCCCTGTGCCTGTAAGCTTTTTTTCTTGGCAGCACAATTGAAGCAGTCAAACAAAGTATTTGATGCAGGAAAGTCAGAATTTCATTGGTCTGTATCTTTGGAGTCCAATTTGCTTAGTTGGATTCCACTTTCCAGAAGTTGCTTTCCTGCAGGCAAAAAGGGGGAGGTATGCACCCCATAAATCATTGTGCAGGGCACAGCTGAAGATCAGCCTAGGGAAGGGTCCAAATAGGGTTGTCAGTCCCTGTCTCCATTATTCTGGCTCAGCCTATGGGGTGGGGTTGGGGGGCTCAGTTCTGGGTCTTACAACTAAACTTTCAAGATGTTTTTAAGTATTTCTTCTGGCTTGGAAATCCCTCCCTACCTCTTCCCTCTCTTTCAGTGGCCTGATTCACCATCTAATGCTCCAGGGTGAATTCCTAAGGAAGCCAACCCTAGTGGGGCAAGGGCAACTCAGTGACTGGGCTTTGCACCATTGTGCAGCAGACTCCTAGGTCTGAGTGGTAGTCCCTTGCTCTCTGCATAGGCAAAGACTGAGCTCTGTCCTGACCTAGGGCCAGTGAAAGGGTGGTATCGATGACCCAGAGAGAAGCCTATCCTGTCATCATTAACTGATCCAATGATGGTCATGATTCAGGGACAAGGGTCCAAAAATCAGGGGACAGTTTTGTCCATTTCTGCCTAAACTAAGCAAGGGAAGCAGCTTCACCACAAACCAATATCCAGTCCAGCTATCCTTCTTTGCAGGGCCCCAGTGAACTGGACTGAAAGCCTCTATTCTCTTCTCCCCAGACACTGACCGATTAGCCTCATTAGCTTTTCTCTCCCAGGCCAGAGTAGTTGAACTAGGTCATAGTGAACTCAAGGTCCAATCCAGGTAGTTAAGGAAGAGCGAGGTTGCTGCAGGCTGTAGAGGAACCCCTGGAGAGAAAGTAGAGAAGCGTTTCCAGCAGAGCTGGGCCATAAACCAAAACTCTGAATCTGAGCCCCCAAAACTTCAGGACAGTTTGGTTCTAAGTTGGAACTTTGGGACACGGACTTGGCTCTAATTATTACTGGGTCATCCTGCATCTTATACAAGCACAGCAGGTCACCTGCAGACAGTGCATGGGCCCAGTGTCAATGCACTTACTATTCTGAGTGAGCTGGATGCTGTAAGGAGGCAGATGAACTGGTACAGAGCACCACCTACTGGGGAAGCTAAATTCACCAGCAGGATTAAAACAAGTGACTATCCACAGTGATCCTATTTCCAGGGGTTTGTTTTATAAACTTTTCATCAGGCGTGCACACAAAAGTGTGTGTTTAAATCTATCCCTGGCCATGCATGAAGTAATACCCAACTGGGGAGACTTGGCTTTTACCGGTTTCAGAGTAGCAGCCGTGTTAGTCTGTATCTGCAAAAAGAAAAGGAGGACTTGTGGCACCTTAGAGACTAACAAATTTATTTGAGCATAAGCTTTCGTGAGCTACAGCTCACTTCATCGGATGCATAGAATGGAACGTATAGTAAGAAGAGAGAGAGATAGATATACAGAGAAGGTGGAAGTTGCCATACAAACTGTAGGAGGCTAATTTTACAGTGAATGTAGTCAGTGACTCAGGCTGGTAGGAGGTATCTGGCTGCAAGGGTGTCAGTCTGAGTCTTTGAAACAAGCAAAGCATGAGCAGTGAAGTAAATGCAGCCTAACCCTACATCCCTCAACCAAGGCTCTCCGGGCCTTCAACCCTGACCCCCCAGGGTCGCTCTAACAGTAAGAGGAGAAATCTGTTCCATTGTCCACTCCGTCTTGGAGCGTTCTGCTGAACCTGCCAACCTTGGTACTAATGGTTTTCATACATAACATAGTGTGTAGTTCTGCTCACCTCATAGTAGTTCTGTCCTCAGCTACAGATCTGAACCAGAGTCATAAGCGCCTGCTAAGCCAGTGCTTGTGAGTTGTGATGACTATGAGCCCATCAGTGCAGGAGGCATGGAGATGTTTATAATTTGCTTATATAGGCCAAAATCCTCCCCTCTCTTCCACTTTCACATCTGCTTTGCAGCAGGAGTTGGACAGAAAACACCACCAGGCAGTGCAGCATGAGCATGCCACAGAGTACAAGTCCATGCAGGTTCCTGGTGCAGTGGTCCTTGGGGATGGAGCCTGGGCTCTATGTAGCAGTAGAGTCTCCAGTTCATCCTCCTCCTACGGAGACTTCTCCAGCCATTAGGATGGAGTAGGGCTGCCGAGCAACTCTGTCCCCATTCTGCAACCTGGCACGGGACCCTTGTCATGTCCAGAATGTCACCATGGTGAGTCCAGCTACTCAGGCTGGTGCTGGGAAGACAATTTGGGCCATGGCCATGCACAGTGCTTTACAGGCATGGACCACAACAAAGTCCTTGCACCAAAGAGCTTCACGTTTGTAT